TTCAGAATTACTGAATTTAATGAACATTTTTTAGTTCTTATGCTGTTGGACCCCCATGGCTTAATTGCCATTGGCTGTCTTTTTCCTATTTTTCTACTCCTTTGGCTTGCATGTCACTTTTCCTACTTCTTATAAACTCTGCAACTATTCTCCCTTGGTGGGCTTCTCTCCTTTTACCCATCCTTTAAAAACACTGGCATTCCTTTAGATTCTGTTCACCACCCAATCGATGAATGTGGGTTCCTATTGGAGGTCATTCCTTAACATCTCACATGTAAATAGCCATTTGCCATCTCTATCTGAATACCTATAGGAATCTCAAATTCACCGTATCCAAAACTGAACTTGTCTTGCCCATTCCTCCTGTATGCATTATCTTAACTGGTGATACCACCACCTATCTTATCACCCACCCTAGAAACCTATTATCAGTGCTCCTAATACTCCCCACAATTGATCAATCGTCAGGTCCTGCTGATCTAATGCTAACCATCTTGGGAAACCACTCCCTCCTCTTCGTCCCTACAGCTACTAACCTTCAGAATTTTCCCTGAACTACCATGACAAAGGTATTATAGTATAATATCTAAAATGCAAATGCACTTCTCAGTGGCTTCCTGTGGTCTTTAGAATAGAGCCTACCTCTCACAGGATAAGTCCAATGTTTAATTCTCAAATTGAACTTCTGATCCTCCTCCTACAGTCGCCTTACCCACAGGCTTTCAGTGGCAACTCCACCCTTCCAGTGCTTAGGCCAAAGACTTTGGAGTTATCCTGACTCCTCTCTTTTTCTTACATCATACCTGGCTCATCAGCAAATCATATTGGGGCTACTTTCAAACTATATCCCAAATATGATCACTTCCTGTAGCATACTGTGCCAACACCCTGGTCTGAGCCGCTATCCTCATTGTCCAGATTACTGCAATAGCTCTAACTGGTCTCTTGGTTCTACCCTTACCATTGCAGCAATACCCTCCTGTCTCTCTGACCAATCCATTGTCAACATAGCAGCTGGTCTATTTTTTTTTTAAATGTTAGTCAGATCATATACAACCTTCCTCATCTATCACTGTGTCCCTAGTCACTCCACTCCTGCCATACTGCTTTCCTTGCTTTTTCGTGAACCCTTCAGGTACATTCCTGTCATAGGGCCACTGTAATGGATGTTCCTTTTTTAAACCCTTCTCCTCCAGATATTCTCATAACTAACTCCCTAGCCTCACTCAACTCTTTGCTAAATTATCATCTCAACAAGGCCTAACCTGACCACTCTATTACTGGAGCCTGCAACCTTCCTCTCCTTACACTCCTTTCCTTGGCTTTTTTTCCTGTTTCATAGCACGTACAACTTTTTACAATACTGCATCATTTATTTACTGTGTTTACTATTTGTCTCCACTGCCTTCCCAACCCAATATGTAACCTCCATGAGGACTAGGGATCTTTGCTTTGTTCACTGATATCTCCTCAGAGCCTAGAACAGTGCCTGGAACATGGTAAGCTTTCAATAAGTATTTCTTGAATGAAAAAAAAAAAATAAGGCAACACCTATCTTGTTAAAACTTGCTGCAAAAATCATGCTGTTTTTTTTTTCCCCCTCATGTCTTTGCTCATGGCAGCTCATGGCTGCCCTTCAGACCCCACTCCTGTTCCTCTAGGAAGTTTCCTGATACCTCTCCTTCTCTTGTGCTTGGTTAAATGTCTCACTCCTTGGCCTATCCCCATCTTATCATGTATTTTATAGCTATCTGCTCATAGGTCTGTCTCTTTGACTAACCTGAAGAACTCCATGAGTCAGGGACTTCTGTCTTGGTTGTCTTTGTTGTTCCAAGGCCTAAGTCAGGTCTTATAATACAGCTAAATACTCTTAAGTGTTTGTTGAGGGAATTGGTATGTCTGAAATGAAACCTTTCTCACAAGATCTTATTCCTCCTCCACTGTTCTTCCAGAGCTTTCAGTACTGGGGATAAAACTCTAGACCTGCAAGTCACTTCTTCCCTGATTACTCCTAACCCAAAGTAATCTCTGTCCTTTGAATTCCAGAGTAGTTTCCTAAACCTCTCATATACACTTTGAATTCTATTACATTAATTTCTCAGAATCACACACTTTTGGTGTGGGAGGGACCTTGTACGCAGTTTGTTCTACCCACTCACCCGAATTACAGCATTCTCCCTAGGTGCTTATCTGTGCATTTTACCTTCGCTGTTTGGGAATGTACTGCCTTCCCAAGTGATGTGGCCACTTAATTTGGGAAACGTTCCCAATAGAAAATTCTTCCTCATATTAAGTGGAACTCTTTGCCTGTAGCTTTTAACTATTTCTATCCCCTTTAGGGATCACGTCTTTAAAATTTTAAAATTTTTTCCTCTCCCCCGCCCCCCAAGTTCCTTCAACATACTCTCCTGTGACAGTCTCCACTTCTCTAACTAGCCAGGGCACCTCCCTCAAATGATGGCTCATTCCCTCCAGACCTCTGTGCAGAACTAACTGCAGTGCGCCCGGCATGCCTGAAGCCCCGAAGCCGGCAGCCCCGCTGTCATGTGCGGGGTACAAGCGCAACTGCCGGGCCTGCTAACCTGGGTATCTGGTGTGCAGGTCCAAGTGGGGGCCACTCATGCAGACGTGCTTCCTTGGCTTTAAGAATGTGTCTGTGAACCCCTGAAGGGCAGGACAGTGCCTTCTTTCTCTCCTTCTGTCCCCAGGGTGCCCCGTGAACCGCCTTGCCTCTGGGGAGGCCTAGGCTGAAAGAGAAGGTAGGGGATTCCTCTTTATCCTTGAGAGCCATCCCCCGCTGCCCCTGAGCACGCCCCAATACCACCCCCACTCGTGGCCCGGCCTCACCAGCCTTAGGATCTTCACGTGGCCTTTTACGCTGAAGCAGAAGGGGCGATGCTTCGGCTTCAGGGTGGGCATCATGTCTGCAGACTTGCAGCAGCACCACTTCTCCCCCTCATCCCCTCTCCTCGCCGCACAGCTCTGCCAGGCCTCGAGCGGCGACAGCAACTGCCAAGACTGCTGCGAACCACCTTCCTAGGATTCCCGCTCTCGCGTGCGCATGCGTACGTCACTACGGGGGGGGGGGGCGCTCGTGCGCATGCGCCTCACTGGGGCTGAGCAGCTCTGACTTTGCCGCCTTCTGGGGTTCGCCTGCTGCATTTCTGTGAACCTAGAGGGGTCGCATGGGTGGGGGGCGCCTCACAGGCAGGCGGGCCTTTCTTAGCGCTGCCCTGCCCTGCTCCGCCGGACACAAACAACTGCTCTCCAGCTCTAGGTAAGGGCTTTCCAGTCAGGTAGCGCTTCTGGAGAGCGGTGCAGGGAGGGATTGGGAGTGTTCAGGAATGGCTGCAGGGTTACCCCGGACTATGAGCATCTCAAATACCAACTCCATAGAGAAGCTTTCCCGTGGTCACCCCGTCTAGAACAGCCACCATCACCCTCTTCACAGCACTTATCAGTACCCAATATATTTTACTATAAATTGCACAAAAGCCAGGACCTACCTGTGTATACTTCTCTCCCTGCAGGGTTCCCAGGGTCTGGCACATAGTAGATTTAAATTATGTGCTGTCTGAATCAAAGGCCTGGGCCTCATTCCCTGCCCTTGCCCCCAGGGTATCACAGTCTGAACTAACAGCCTCATCCTGAATCAGAAAAACGTTGAACTTAATCTTGAAGAGGGCGTGTTTATGGCAGATAATACAGCGTCCGTGGCAGATAATATTGAAAGCACCAGATGGGGTGTGGCTTTCTGGTAGCAGATCCAGAGACTGAGCGAGCCCTCTTGCAAATGACTTCCTCTCCTCTGTCCTAGAGGAGACTGCTAGCACCTTGCACTCCTGAGAGGAAGGAAGCCCCTCCACCCAAGCTGTAGAATGGGCTTGCCCACACCGTTCGTAGTGCAGCTTTTTAGGTTTCAGGGCCTGGGCCTGTTGAATTATATAGACCCCATCTACCTCACTCCTGGGCCGAATTTTTGCTACCTGACTACAGATGAAATTTGCAGGCTTCTTTCCCACCCCTAGCTGTTTGTTCAGATGGAATATTGGTTGCACCTTTGTTAAAAGATAAACTGAGATGTATTAAACATCTTAAGAGTTTGGGCAAAAATTGATTTGATTTGGGCAGCATCCAATCTAGCAGATAGAAAGGAGCTCCAAGGAGCTATACAAAATGAAAACCTTTTATAGGCAAAAGGAAGCAGGAACAAGGAAATAACACTGGCAAAGAAGCTGGGTGTTTGTTGCAAGGTTAGTTTGCTTTAGGTGTTGGCCAAAGTCTATAAAGCAGATTACCTAACTAGTATTGATCACCTAGGCTATTCCTTAAGGACTGGCCTAATGTTCCATTTCTAGAAGAGCCAAAATAATTAAGTCTTGGTTTGGTGAAGTGGGGTTTAGCATAAGCAACTCCATTTTGGGCCCTTGTGGTTTTTTCTGTGGTTTTGTTTTGTTTCGTTGTTGCTGTTGTAACACTTTCTTGAGGCATCTAGTACATTTATAGTCTAGACCCTGGTTATGTTCAAGTGCAGAGGAAAGAGTGCAGGCTGTGAGGCAAGATAGATGGCTTGAATTCCAGCTTCGCCCCTTAATGAATGCTAAAAAAGTCACCTAAATTTCCGAGGATCAGCTCAGCGAGGATTATGGGAGTGACAATATCCACTTGCAGGACTGTTGGGAAGAATAAATGACACCCTAAGTGTGTGTCAGGTGTCTGGATACAACACGTGCTCAATTAAGTAATCTCCAATAATTAATTCACCAACCAGTTGAGGGTATTGTTGGCCACCCATCCCCCAAGCCTTGCCAAGTCGGGGTTCATTCCGCCAGCGTCCCGTTAGCGGGAAGATTTCTTGGCTGCAACCTGCTCAGGTCCCGCCTTGAATTGTTTTCCCTCTCGGAGAGCGGGTGAAAAGCGACCGGGTCTCTTTAAGAGCCCGGTCCCAGCAGGCGCCCCGGCGGCCAGCGTGGGGATGGAGGCGGTGCGCTACGCTGGCGCAGACTCGCGCAGGAAGGAAGCCGCGCCGTCGGATCCGGCCGCCGGGATATGCTGCTGCGGCCGCTGCGGAGCTGGGCAGCCCGGGCGCTGCGGCGCGAGGGGCCTGGGAGCCCCGCCCCGGGCCAGGGGACGTGGGGGGCGCAGCACCGGGCCTGGCTTCGCGGTAAAACGTCTCTCTCTACCATCTTTGGCGGCCCGCGCCTGGCGCTCCGTGGCCGCGGGTCTCACTCCACCCCCTCCATTCCGCCTGAACCCGAAGCTACTCCTAGGCGCTGGGATTTTGTCCCGGCGGCTGCCGGGCGGTGGAGGGGCGAGGGCGGTCATCGCCAGCGGGCCGCGAGCGGGTGGGGCCGTGGAGATCCCTCTAGAGAGGAGTAAGACCCTCCCACCCCGTACTCGGGGGCTGCTCCTGTCCCGGTCCCGTTCCAGGTCCGATTCTCGTGGCCTTGGGGGAGCCAGAGGCCCGGAGATGCAGCTAACCAGTCCCCAGCGCGGGGTGGGTGCTTTAGTCCCCGAAGCCTTCCTGCTCCCACTGGGAGTGGGGACTTCCCATTTCGGAAACGGACACCGCCAGCGGAATAGCTACGTTACAGCGTTCTTTGGCCTCGGGCTGTTGGGTGGCACCTCAGAACCACCTGTGTGGTGGGTGGGCCGAAACCCATGCGCGCTGCCCTCATCTGTGAGGATCATAAATATGAAATGTGTGAAAAATGGAAAGTAATATACTAAGTGAAAAAAAGCCAAGTACAGGTGGGGCCCAGAGGGGCCAACTGGACCCAGGCAGCAGCTGCACAGTGTCATGTGGAGGTAGACAGCAGTGGCGGGTCTGCCTCCACCCACCCGCGGAGGGTCTCCATTGTCATTGGAAGACATTTTTAGGCCAGGGAGTAAGTGTAAACATTACTGTTTTTGTGGTGGTTTTCAAAATTAGGAGAAAGAGTGAATTACTTAAAACTGACCTTAAAAATTGATTCTGTTTCTTTTGTAGATAAAGATAGAGAAAACGAAAAAGAGAAAAAATCAGTGGTAAGTCTTTTATGTGCACTCCCCAGTGTAGTGTGTGTGTGTGTGTGTGTATAATAGAGTGGGAGGATTATATATTCTGAGAAGGGGAGAGCTGAGGGCAGTGAAGGAATGTGTGCACATAGTAAAAGACAAAAATATGAGGATCTCCGGGGATGAGGAAGTCTGTCTCCACCGCTGGACCTCAGACCCCCTGCCCAGAGGCCGCCTGTCCCCAGGTGCTGGTATGTCCTTATCAAGAGTCTGCACAGTTGGGAACATACATGTATTCAAAGCCTTTAGGTGGGTTTGGACTGTCAGCTTGATGAATTATTACAAAAGGATTTGAAAAATGCTCCTCTGTGTGGGGAAGGTTGGTTTTGCCCTGGGTTAATGGGGTGGCTGCCTGGCTTTGAGACAAGGTCTGCTCGCTGCCGCCCCCTGCCGTCCAGTGTTGAGACTAGTGGGTGGGTCGGGGTATCAGAGAGAATCCATGGGGGTCCACAGACATGGCTTCAGCCACTGTAGTGACTTTGAGATGCCAGCTGTGGAGTGGGCGTGGGGCTGGTGTGAGGTTGAAGGTTAAAGAGGGCCAAACTAGACATGTTCATGGGGATGCTGGAGGCTTTAGCTGGCTGGGGTGGGGAACAACATTTTGGTCACCCTCACTCCAGAGGCTTAGTTCCTTGAGGAAGCTAGAAGTTGGTAGCTTCTGTGGCTCGGAAGGGAGTGGTTTGTCGGCTGGTGACAGGAATACCTTGGCTGAGATCTGCAGAGTGCAGAAAGGGTGGGCAATCCCCTGGGGTATTGCGGGGAGATGGAGAGGGACTGGGAAGGAGTCAAGTCACACGGAGAGCATTGGTGATTGAAACAATTGAGCTTTATGAAAGTGTGTTGAAATGAGAGGTGGAGTGGGTTCTAAAGGTGGGTACTGCAGGAGGAGGGGTATTATGTTGCACTGGCTGGGAAATTGCTGTGCTAATTATCAAGCTAGCACTTATGTGAGCCAGGCCTGTCCTGGGTGCTTTCAGACACATAGTAGGTCCATCAGAAGTGGTATGGAGTGTGCACTTAGGCCCAAGGCTACTCTTGAGCATTCAGATCTTCTGAGTTCTTGGGGACCAAATAGCCCCTGTTATTAGTGAGTCCCTATTCTGATGGGGGAGATGGCAATAAATAGGACTGTGGTGGACCCAGAACAGCAGTGAATCTGGGGACTGTTGAGTAGAGGACAGGGCCTCCAGAGGACAGTGACTGAGGGGAGCCTTGAGCTTTGAAGCCTCCTGGGAGATGAAGGAAAAGGGGAGGCAGGAGTGTTGGAGCAGAGGGAGCTGCAAATGTGAGTCAGAAGGAGGAGAACTGGGCCGGTCCCCAAAGAGCTGGTGAAGAGGGGCTGGAGATAGGTCCGGAATCCTAGAGCCACTGAAAGACTTGACTGGGTGTGATCTGGTTTGCCTCTCAGGAAGAGATGGTGGTGAGCTGTGGGTGGGGTTGAGGGGCACTGGTGGGCCAGACTGGAAGGCACAGAGGCCACTGGGGAGGCTGCTCCAGCCACGTGGGGGTAGAGGCCTTAACTGGGGGCCAGGGGGACAAGCCAGGTTCTGCAGATGAGTGGGAAGCAGGGTCTGGAGCTGTTGCTGAGTTGCTGGGTGAGGGCCGGATACACCCAGGGTGTTGAGGGGTGCATGGTGCAACCTTCCTTGAGGACTGGAACAGGAAGAGGAGCCGTATATGGGGGTTGGGAGGTGACAAATTGAGGTACCCAGGGGACGACACATGAGACAGGATGGTTAGGGAATGTCTGTGCGGAGTGAAGTCAGTCACCACCGTGGAATAGGAACAGGAACTTCTAGAAGAAGGTCTTATCTAAACAACGTTTTCCTATAGTGAACAGGAAAGAGACAAAGTCTGTGCAGAACAGTGTTAGGTTGAGGTCTTCTTCATTTTATAGGAAGACAAAAAGTTGTTTCCTTTAAAGAGCACAAAAAAAACATCAAATCCTTTAGGGCCCTGATAGGATCTGCCTTTTGTGCACTCTGTTAGGCTCATTTTGTGGTTTTGCATCCTAAGGGAGTGAACTGGCGGGGACCTGGAATTGGAGGGGGGCCTGGCATCTGTCAAAAGTGTGATTGTCTGGTCTCCTGGATACCTGTTAGGATCAAGACAGGAGGGAAACCTTCACAGCTGATGGGCAGAGTTTCTAGTAGGGGGAGCAAAGTGAGATGGCCCCAGAGTGTGGGTTCAAACTGTCCTCTCTCCTTTATTCCTTCATATAAGCCTCATTTTTCTCTTCTGTGAAAGTGTTGTGACCCCTTGCTTAGCTGGCAAAGTTGAATATGGTACTGGTGCATGTTACCCATCTCATGGCCTGGCCCTTAGCAAGGTGCTCAAGAAAGTTCTCTCCTTCCGGATACTTTCTAGTCCATGTTTTTCTCTGTAAAGCAGTGAGTGGGGTACTACAGAACATACACATGTTTCCCAGCCTCAAATCCGTTGGGCTCTGGTTAAGGAGGCAGAACACTTGGGCCTAAAATCTAATAGTTTGAGGGGTGGAGCTAGGGAAGGGGAGAGCTGGGTGGGCAGTGAGTCCAGGAGCCGACATAAGGGAGGGTCTGTCCTGGAGGTTGGTGGCCCAGTGGCCATCATTGGTGGGCTGGAGCTGAGGGTCGGTTTGTTACTGCTCATGGTGGGACCCTGGAAATATGTGCACATTGAAGTCTTGGACTGAATCATTTATACTGTTCACCTGAGCCTTTCCCTAAAAATTCTTCCCTGATACTCCCCTGGGTGCACGATTTTTGGTTCCAATGTGCATTTGTCTTTTGTTAGATCTGCGTTGAGGGCAACATTGCAAGCGGGAAGACGACGTGCCTGGAGTTCTTCTCCAACACAACGGACATGGAGGTATGGCCTCCGTACTGGGTTCGAGAGAACCTATAAAAGCTATGGGATTTATTTACCATAGAAATAAAATGCGAGCCACATGTGTAATGTGATATTTCTAACAGTTTTGCTAAAAAACAACAACAACAACAACAACAAAAACCCGGAAAAGAATATTTAATTTGACGTAATATATCCTAAATGCTATCATGTCAACATCTAATCCATATAAATACCATCAATGAGCTATTTTGCATTCTGTTTTTCACACTGAGTCTTCAAAATCTGGAATGTAGTTTATACATATGGTATATCTCAATTTGGACCAGTCACATTTGAAGTTTGTAAGAGCCACATGTGGCTCATGGCCACCGTGTTGGGCAGTGCAGGTATAGACTCTCCTGTGGTCTGGTTAAGAGGGGTCCACGGACTGTTGAGAGTGGCTGGAATATGATAGTGTTACGTCTGAGATATCCGTGTCCACAGAGGGCGACATTACCGGGGGTAGCCTGTTAACATAATCTCTCATTTATTTTCAGCTCAGTCACTCAGAATAACCCCACAGATACTTGAGGAAGGCCTCTACACTAAGACCCTGACTCTTCTGGAAGAGTTCAGCGGTGTAATTTTTTCTGTTTCTGTCTCTTTTTTGTTAACTCTAGTTTCTACAGTTTTCATGCGTGTAGAGGTTTTTTCTTTCATTCTTTCCCTTCCTGCTTTTTACTTCTACTAAAAATATGTATGGCTTGAGGGGTGCCTGGGTGACACAGTCTGTTAAGCATCTGACTGTCAATTTCAGCTCAGGTCCTGATCTCAGGGTCATGGGATTGAGCCCCAAGTTGGCTCCTTGCTCAGCACAGAGTCTGCTTGTCCCTCTCTCTCTGCTTCTCCTTTCTCTCTCTCTCAAATAAATAAATAAAATCTTTAATATATATATATATGTGTATATATATATATGTGTACATATATATATATGGTTTGATAAAAAGAATAAATTTTCTCAGGTGCTTGGGTGGCTCAGTGGGTTAAAGCCTCTGCCTTGGGCTTGGGTCATGATCCCAAGGTCCTGGGATCAAGCCCCGAGCAGAGAGCCTGCTTCCTCCTCTCTCTCTGCCTGCCTCTCTGCCTACTTGTGATCTCTCCTTCAAATAAATAAATAAAATATTTAAAAAAGAAAAAAAGAATAAATTTTCTGTAGCCATAGTCTTGCTTGTACAGAAAAGAGTTCGCAGGCCCAAGACTGCTGTCCTCGGAGCGGCTCGTGTGCCAGGTTGGCCCTTGTTTAGCGTGTGGGAACTTAGATTTTTGGGAGAGTTTTACCATTTCCTAACTCAGAGAAATGACTCTCTGTGCCTGAACTGTTTGTGCAAACAATACAGTTTATTCTGGATGCCTGCTTTCTTTCTGGAGGCTGGCGTTTTTCTGTGTGCCGGCCAGAGAGGGCCTACGTGCCCAAACTCTGATAAAAAGCCTGAAAGGCAGGGCTCAGGCCAGCCTCCCTGGTAGGCGCCACCTCACACGTGTCGTTCGGCTTGCTTCCGGGGGAATTCAGTGCTTCTGGTGTGACTCCCCCCGAAGAGGCCCCTTGGAACCTTGTGCCTGGTCTCCCTGCAGACTTTGCTCTGTGCCCCCTTTTCTTTGTGAATTTTGTTTTGTATCCTCTCCCTGTAACGAGCTGTAGTTGCGGATATCTTTGTAGGCTGTGTCCTGGGCGTTCTCCTGGTGAGTCATCACACTGGGAGGAGGCTCAGGGCTCCTGACATGCCTGTCCTGAGCGGTGGCACTCTGCACGGCACTTAGGGAGCACTCAAGTTCTCGGGTAAGACCTGGGACCCCGGGAAGAGCGACAGAAATAGTAACAGTGATGAGAGTAAGCACCTGGGGAGGCTCCTACTGTAGGCCAGGCACGGTGTTGAGGCTTCCTTCTTTGTCTCACTGATTTTGTCCTTCTTTTTTTTTTTCAAAGATTTTATTTGTTTATTTGACACAGAGAGAGAGAGAGATCACAAGCAGGCAGAGAGGCAGGCAGAGAGAGAGGGGGAAGCAGGCTCACTGCCGAGCAGAGAGCCCGAAGCTGGGCTCGATCCCAGGACCCTGAGATCATGACCCGAGCCGAAGGCAGCGGCTTAACCCACTGAGCCACCCAGGCGCCCCTGATTTTGTCCTTCTAAGGGTCCTCTCTGTGTGTAGGTATGATTACTACCTGGGCTGCAGAGCAGGAAGCGGGCTCTGTGAGGTTAAGGAATGGCCCCGGGTGGGGCGGCACAGCTGGCGTGTGGTGGCGCCTGATCCTAGCCCCTGTCACTGCCTGGGCGACCACACCCTTGTTTGGTTCTGTAATTCTGAGGCCTTTGTTGGCTGTGGGAAAGCCTTACTTGGCCTTTGGATCTTAGCTCAGTGCCCTCAGACCTCCCCAGCGAGGTTACCCTTGTTGGTGGAGAGTCTTCTGATCTCTCTGTATCCTTGTTTTGTACTACTTCTCGGGGTTTGAACATACACGATTTCTGTGATGATCTAATTAAGGTCTGCTTCTCCCAGTAAGGTTTTTTTTTTTTGTTTTGTTTTTTGTTTTTTTAAGATTTCCTTATTTGTTTTAGAGAGAGAGTTGGAGAGAGCGTGGGCAGGCACGTGAGTAGTGGGAGGGGCAGGGAGAGAGAGAGCGCGAGAGAGCGAGCACGGCTTGAGTAGACTCCCTGCTGAGCACACAGCCCCATGTGGGGCTCGATTCCAGGACCCTGAGATCAAGATCTGAGCCTAAACTGAGTCAGATGCTCATCTGATTGAGCTGCCCAAGTGCCCCAAGTTCAAAGTTCTGTAAAAGCAGGGACCGAGGTGGTTTTGCTCTTGCCTAGCATGGTCCTGGTACAGCGAGTTGTCAGTAAGTGTGGCCTGATCGTGCCTTGGCTGGGGCACAGGTCAGGGCCGCCTGTGACCAGCCTCCGGTGGTGGCCTGAGTAGAGCAGCACATGCTACTCGGGAAAGGAATAGAGTGCTGAAGACCCAGAAAGAGAGGGCATTTGGGAGGGTCGGGGCATGAGTCACAGAGGAAGGAATACTGGAGCTGGAATTTGAAGGATGTGTAGGAGTTTTCCGTGTCATGGAAGCTGATGTGAAATCAGGTCACATGGACATACTGGGCAGAAGGAACAGCATGAGCAAAGGCACAGAGGTGTGGGAGGTGGGGGGAGGTTACTCATCATGGCTCCCACGCATTGGTTTCCTCTGGTCTTCTGTGACCTAGAGACCCTGCTCACATGTACTCTCAGGTCTCCAGATGGACCCAGGTACTTTCAAAATTTTGGCCCCAGTAGCCCCATTTAAATCCTTTCCAGCACATACCTGTACCCCAGAGGGTCTGGCACGGTTTAGGAAGTAAAATAATGCAGTGTGACTCTTAGTTGTCAGCATGCCCAATTCAGAGAACAGAGGGAAAAGTGGAGGGGGAGCAAATTGACTGAGGTCGCAAGAGAAGCCACCAAGCGGAGAAGCTGGCCCGAAGTGCCTCAGGTAGCTTCCCTCCTGCCTTCTCTCCCTTGTCTGCCCAGCTGGGCATGGGGACAGTCAGGGCTGCGGTGGAACACACGGAGGAGAGGTTGAGAGAAGCGCCTTGCCCTTAGGGAGCTCCCGAGGGAGCTGGAAAGGTGGCCTGTGTGCAGACTTGCATGCAGGGACAGACACCGTTCCAAGGTCACTTTGGGAAAGCGTGTGAGAAAGCCATGTCCGGGTGGAGTCGTGGGTTCCAGGAGAGGGTTGCCCAGCTTTCAGTCATCCCAGGGGCTTGTATCCCGAGGAACGGCAGACCGCTGATGTTTCCTTTTTTTCAGGTGTTACCGGAACCAGTGCCCAAGTGGAGAAATGTCCGTGGTCATAATCCTCTGGTGGGTGTGCTGTCTCCTGCGTGAGCTGCCAGCTTCCGCCTCAGTGCTGGGGCCTGAGCCTGCCCCCTCCCTGCACAGGCCTTTTCCAGGCTCTTCCCTGGGCTGGAGGAGAAGAGGGAGGGGAAAATGGAAAACGGCCATGAGTATGAGTATGTCCTGAGGTCAAAAGTCTCTGAGGCCTGGCTGGGCGTTCACAGGTCATGGGGATCCCCTGTCAGCTGTCCGAAACTATCCCAAGTGGTCTCTCTTGGCTATGGGGGTGTCCATTTCTTGCTGCTCATTCTTCCCCTACCCTTTCCTAGAAGAAACTCATTAGGAGCGAGGTCTCCCCAGGCCTAACCCCTAGGACCTCTGTCTGTAAGTAACCAGGTTCCTTGGTAAGCCTCTGATTTGGGTTTGCACCTGGCAATGTCCAAGGACTGAATCTGGCTCACCCCGAGGCTACCTGTCTGCTTTCCCAGGTATGGACCCAGCAGCAGGGGCTGTGGTATGCTTGTGTCCCTTGCCCTGTCTGCACCAGGTGGAAGGCTCTGCTCTGGCTGCTTCCAAGAGATGGGTGGGGTTTGAGTCCAGTAAGAGGGAGCTGAAGAAAGGGATATTGCTTCTGGGCTCTTGCCCCGTGATGGACAGATGCTTAGTTTTAGTTTTCACGTGAGGGAATTGCAGCTCAAATAAGCTGTACAAGGTCTTACTGCCGGCGAATGACAGACCTTGATCTGACTAGAGGAACAGGGGAGCTGGTGCCGTCTCTTCATTTCCAGCAATGCTACTGACATCTCGTGTGGTTCTGTAGCCTGTGAGTTCCAGTAGTGGCAAGGACTGTGTCTAATTTGGCTGACTGTTGTTTGCTAGGACATAGTGTTCTGCACTTGGTGGGTTCTTAATCATTCCTTCTCCCAGAACTTACTGCATGCTTACCACGTGCCAGACTCTGTCCTAGGCACTCGGCAGGGAGCAACTCAGAGCTCCTGTTCCCTTGGCCTTCATAGTCCCGTGCGGGGAGGCAGAAGGCAGTTTGGCATATGATTTGGTGGGTGGTGATAGGAGCTATGAAAACATCTAAAGCAGGCAAAAGGATTTTATTTCATAAGGCAAAGACTGTTAGAGTCTTTGAATAAAGAATCCCAGAGACATGAACAGTTTCATCTCTGTGCATGTGGGAGAAGAGGGAATGCCTGTCATTCTCATTTGGGCATTAACAAAGAAGCCTCAGAAACACTCATATTCTCTGGGAACCAGGGCTGGATTATTAGGTTAGACAGGTCACAGATGTGTGTTAGGGCTCAGAGGTGACATTTTACAGGACACAGTCCCAGTCTCAGGAGTCTGTGTCTCTGTGGTACAAGGAGCATTTTCAATGACAGTATTATAACATGAAATATATAAGAGAATTAGATATTTTGAAACACGTTTCTGCTCTGGACAGAAGAGTGAGATTGATAGTTTTGTGAAAAGTCTCATTTCATCACTTTATCTGAATCGGCTCTCCGATGTAGGAAGGTGTCTGTTTGCGCAGCCTTCAGACAAGGAGGGTTTCTCCTAACTTGTCTCAGATTTTCTTTCACCTGTAGATAGGAATCTGCAGTTTTCTAGGCGAGCACTGGAATCTCATTTGTTAGCACCAAGAGAAAAAAACAAAAGCAAAAATGTGGAAAAGAGCAGAATTTCAGATTATTAGCAAGAGGAATGTGGAACACGGACTGTTCTATATGTACAGGCAAGAGAGAATGCTGGGCATGGGGCTGCTCATTTGGCTAGGATAGTTGGGGAAGGCATTTCTGCTCAGGTGACATTGGAGCACAGACTTAAACATATGGAGGGAGGGAGCAGTGCAGATATCTGGAGCAAGAGTGTTCCATTAGAAGGCACAGCAAATGCAAAGGCCCTGAGGCGGGATTGTGTTTGGGTGTTTGGAGGAACACTCAGGAGGCTCCTGTGGTTGGAAGCACATTGAGTCAGAGAGAGGATGGTATAGGACAAGGGAAGATGGAAATGATTTCCTAGGGCCCTGTGGGCCTTGATAACAGCTTTGGATTTCATTCTGGATGCAATAGGAAGCCACTGGAAGGTTCTGAGTAGAGGAGTGACAAGAGCTGACAAGGAGTGACAAGAGCTGAGGTTTAGCAGGTGCACATTGACCGCTGGGTGGAGAAGGGAATGTAGGGGGCTCCACAAACACTTGTTAAGCGACTGAATGAGTGGTCCTTGGGGACTTTCTATAGGCTCCTGTCACAACTGTTACTTGGTTGTCCTGTCAGTGCTCCAGTGCCTCTCCACTCTGTCCACTCTGTCCTCAGGGCCCCGACACCATGTTGGGTTCATTCCTGGCCCCACCACAGTCCCATGTGGGTTTCACGAGAACCCCTCGGTAACTGAAGAGACCAGAGTGCTATAGCTAGAGCTCTTTGAGGTAAAATGCTGCCTTCTCCCTCGTGCAGGGGCTCATGTACCGCGATGCCTGTCGATGGGGCCTCACGCTGCAGACGTACGTGCAGCTCACCATGCTGGAACACCACACTCGTCCTCAGGTACATTTCCGATGCTCGGCTTCAGCCTTCTCAAAGGGTTCTTCACGTGGGGGGTGTAGGGTTGCCAGGAAGGGAAACCCCACAAGGAAGCTGCTCGGGTTCTGGAGCGCTGCTCAACCGCCTCTGTGTCTGGGGCCAAGTTTTCCTGTCCCTGCAGTTCTCCCAGGTCCAGCCTCTGGCGCCCCTACCCAGCAACTTCAGGTAGCCACAGAGTTGCTAGGGAGGCCACAGTGAGCCCCAGTCTTCACAACCTGACCGCTTCTGGGCTCAACATTATTTACCTCAGTTCTTCGAGTGTGCCTAGAGCTGGAGCAGCAGAAGCACCGGGAACTTGTTAGAAAGGCACATTTTCAGGCCCCATTCCAGACATGCTGAACCAGACATTCTGGAGCTGGGGCCCAGCAGTCTGTTTTATCAAGCTTTCCAGGTGACTTCAGTGCATGGTTTGCACATTTGAGAACCACGGCTCTAACCTTGACAAGATCTGGCTCTTGGTTCCGATTGTTGGGAGAAAAAATCGGACTGGCTCAGCTTGGGTCCTGTGTCTAGCCCTGGGCCAGCTGGGCGTTGAGAGAGAGCACAGGGCACAAACATGCTGCTTAGACCTTCCATCAGGCCTCTGAATGGGGGTGGAGTCTCTTAGAAACCAGGCTGCTGAGGAGAGCCTGATCGGCACCTGTGGTTCAAAATTGAAAGCACCACTTGAAAGGCGAGCTTTGGGTGCTCTCCATGAAGGAGACGGGAGATCCCTACAGCCAGCGATGTGGCCACAGCCGTCTGCTGGGTGGTGCAATCCAGGGCTGGGCAGTTGTCACTGTAGCTATCATTCTACAAACCTGTGTCTTTTAAAAATGGAAAGATGGAAGAAGAACCACATGAATTTCTGTCTCCCCAAGTATCTGTCTAAATGATACAGATCAGAGCATCTGAGGTTGGCACTTTTCCCCTTTGTCCACTTCCCCCAAGCAGGACTGGATTGCAAATCTAAATTGTATCTCATAGATCTGAATATAAGGGGATATGCGTGTGTTTCTCTGTTTACGGAGATCTACCATGAAAGACGCAGAGAGAGGAAGAGAGATAGACAAGGAAAGAGGAGTGGAAGGAGAGAGGATGAGTGGGGGGCTAGCAGCAGATGGGCAGCAGAGAGTCCTAAGTAAGGAGAGGATGAAAAAAATAGGAAGATGGACAGACAGATAAACGCAGGGAAGGAGAGCCAGGAAATTCCTGGGTTATGGCCTCAAAGGTGTCTGTGATTTGCTGGTCCAGATGCCATGCATGCTGTGGGCCAGGCTGAGAGAGAGCAGGGTGTGCCCAGTTGGGCACAGTCCTTCCCAGTTTCCAAAGGGCTGCAGCGATCCCCAGCCAGCCCTGTGAGGAGGCACCAAGGTCTCCCATCTCTGCAGGATTCCAGAGAGCCAGGCTCTCAGTCGCTGAGGGCAGAGTCCCCGAATGTCAGCGGGGGTGCAGCCGCACCCCAGCCCTCTCGGGGCTCTGCCTCCGGCATACAGAGCCCTCTGCTCGAGCAAGTGCACACTATTTAGCTCCATAGTCACCACACTTTTCACTTGACAGCCCTCCGCTGGACAGCACTTGGCAGTTTTTCTAGCACTTCCCCCAATCGATAATCCAGGGGAGCCTCACCTCTCCTGTGGAAGAGGCTGCTGCTGACGAGCCGTCAGTCCCTGCATTGCTGCACGGGCCACGGAGCTTCGGGGTGTGGGGAGGGTCCCCGACCGAGGGCGGTGCGCCGCTGAGCCCCATGTCAGACCCACACTGTTGCTCTGGTCACTGCCTCCCTCTCCCATAGCTTCTCTGTTCTTGTTTGGTGTAGACTGTAGGCAGGGGGAGCAACAGGCATTGTTCAAGCCTTCCTGACCTGAGTCAGTGAATCACTTTGTTTTCTTTTAGACATCACCTGTACGGTTGATGGAACGGTCGATTCACAGCGCAAGATACATTTTTGTAGAAAACCTATATAGAAGGTACCGTAGTTCGCACAATTGATAATTTGTGGAACCATTTATTTTGTAGAAATGAAATTGGAAACTGTTTATTCACGTGACAGCGCTTGAGTGCCTATAGTGTTGTATCGGTTAGCTCCTGCCACAGTAATGCACTCTCACAACCAGCCACAGACCCTTGGGACGGACAGTTTGCTTGCAGTGATTGCTCAGGCGGAGAGGGTGGTCGACCTTGATGGCTGGGTTCCGTGCTGTGTCTCACATGGCTCTGGCACGGGTGACTGGGGTGACTCATCTCTCTCTTCTTGCCTCTAATCCTCCTCTGGGACCAGCAAGCCAGCCTCGACAATCGTCCTGGTGACAGCAGAGAACAGGGGCACCAGCAGGAATGCACCAGTGCTGTTGAGGCTGTGTTTCACATTTGCTAACATCCCATCGGCCAAAGCAGACGCCCCCCCACACCCCGCCCCCCTGAACTGACCCCAGGCCTAGAGGCTGGGAGGGCCCACATGGGTCACATGGCAGAGTGGGAGGGTGTGGGGCCGGCTGAAGACCCAGAGCCACAGGGCATTCAGTCATTTTGCGCAGTGTTTGTTACAGTTTCACTCCAAACTGTCTTCTGCCTTCATGGGAGTGAACTCTGTCATCTAGACATAGTTAGGGGCCTTCTGGTATCCCACCGTGCTGAGGCCTCAGAGGCTTGGGAACCTCCCGATTTCTGTGCTCAGTGGACCGCTGATTCCAGCGGAGGCGGGCTACCGGCTGCCGTCTGAAGCGAGGGCTCCTTCCACACCCCTCCCTCCTCAATAGCTGTGTGCCTGGTCACCCTCTCCTTGCCAGCCCCATCTTACTGTGTCTTCCCGCCCTGAGCTCGCTGACCAAGAGGTCCTGATGTCAGATTTGTCCTGACATCTTCCTGCCACTCTCCACATGCCGGCTCCCTGCTCCCTCATCTGTGGCTGTCCTCAGTGTCACCTTTCCCGGCCCCCAGCCACCCTGTCCAGGTTGTTGGCCACTTTCTCACTTTTAATTACTTCTTCCTGTTGCCTTTCTTCATAGTATTTAAGACAACTTTTAAGTAGGTTGAACCATATGGAATCATGAATATTTGACCAGTTTTGACCTACACGAATGGCAGTAGCACGTGGTCCAACTTCATCCATGTTTATTTGTTCAGTTGTCTATTGTGTGTCGTCCCCATCCCCTCCCCCCTGGCTGGTTCATCAGCTCCTTGGGGACAGGAGGACCGGCCATGGCAGCTATACTTGCCTAGCATGGACCCATCCCAGGGCTGGCACCTAGGGTGTATTGTTAGCTGTTGCTGGGCGATGCGACTCGGGGCTGCTCTTGGGTCTCCAGCCGGACATGATCCTCAGGCTCTGGCCCCAGCTGCTTCACACCCCTTCCTACTGAAAAGGCTTCTCCCATTGGTCCTGAGCTGCCATGGGTCATGCCCGTCGGCCTGTGTGGCCCCAAAAGGAGAGCCTCTGCTCTCATCTCTTCTGAGCATTAGACTGATGCCATGGGGTCAGGACAGCAGCCGGAGCAAGTCCTGACTGTAACTTTGTCCTCCGACCTTCCAGCAGGGATGGGCCTGGTGTTAGAGCCCTGTCCTCCCCGCACTGTCTGGGATTTCAGTGGGGCCGAGGTGCCCACTGCAGGCTTACCCAGGCCTTCACTCTCCTTTGCTCCCTGGCAGTGCCTCCGCTGGAGGGAGGGACAGGAGGGAGGGACAGGCAGAGGAGGGGAGAGAAAGAACAAAGGAGCCGCACCAGTGTTTGTTTATTGTTCTGATGAAAATGTAGCCTGACATGTGGACCCTGGGCAGCAGGGTGGGACTTCTGCACCCTTCCCCTAGTGAGGCTGGCTCTCTTGTAACTGCCAACACCTTGGCCAGTTCTCTGTGGCAGCCAGTGGCTCCTTTTGAAGAGGTCATGGAACGCCATGACCAGAGGCCCAGGGGAGAGAGTGAGATGCAGGGTTCGAGGAACCTGGGTCCCCTCCTGGCTCCGGAATTTGCTGTCTTTGTGAGCATGGCCAAGTTCCTAAAGCTCCCCCAGCCCTTCCGATCTCTAATTCCTGTTGTCTGTCTCTGGAGAGCCTATGGGGCAGTTGCCTAGTGTAGGTTTTGTGCCCCTTATGCAGGTGCTTGCCTACCCTGCTCTTAACAAAATTCACCAGTAAACCCCCCCGCCACCACCCAGCATCCCCGGTCCCCTGCCTGTAGGCTGCCCCACACCTGGTGGATTTCCCCAGGAGCCATTAGTCCCTGTTTTCCCAGGAGGCAGTTTTAGCGGATGTCCGAGGGCTTTGGGTACTCATGCCCGTAGCCCTTCATTCTAGCACTTCTGGTGGCCGGTTCCGATTTCCTGATCTCTGTGGCTGTGGTTGAGGTCATAGGTCCAGAAAACATGGCTCTTGCCCTGTGAGTAGTGTAGGAAAAGACTACAGCTTTTAATTTTTTGAGCTCTTTTCCTGCCCTGTTAACTTCATATTTATGCCTCACCTGGCCCTCCAGAATGCCCGGCATCTGTGGTTAGGGTTTCTGCAGAATAGTGAACCACATGAGAAATTTGTCCTGTGTCCCTCTTCCTTTTCTTGGCATCTGATTGGTTCAAGTTCCTACAGCCTTGGGAGAGCATGGATTCCCCTAAAGACCTCTTTGGAGGCTGAAGATTGGTGGCTGCTATCACTTGAAGCAGCCCAGAGGCTGTTGGTTGGTGTGTGACCTTGGGCACTCCAGGGGCTGCTGGGAGCACTGTGGCAGCCTGGGGCAGTGGTGGCAGGGTGGGGGTGAGGCCATCTGCCACTTCGGTTTCAGGGAGATGGGAGAAGGCGGTGCTCCTCCGGCCCTTTCACTGAAGTCCTCCAGAAGCCCAGGACTGCTCACATAGGTGGCTGCTTCTCCACGGCCCTCCGAGCCCACGGAGCCCAAAGAAGCCAGCTAGCAAACCGGAAGTTACTTTGAAGTCTCCTCTTTTGTCTAAGAAATTCACATGGGCTTTGCATTCTGTTCTGTAATGTGTTCTTCTGTTTGTTTCTGTAGGAAACACCATGCTTACAATGTGGCTTGGAGTACCCCCTTCCTCGGCCACATGTCCCAGAGTTTCCAAATTTGGGAGGCCGAGAGGACTCCTGGGGGAGGGGCCCTGAGAAGACCCTTCCTAGCGTGGGTGATCTTCTTGTGGCCTGCACCAGGTTGTCTGTGCTCCCTGGAAACGAGGGCATTTGCTCAGGTGGTTGAGGGCCAGGCCAGGAGCCACATTTATTACTGGTTCTTCACACTCCTCTCCTTTGAGCCCTCAAGGCAGCCCTGATTTATAGGTTCTGTTGACCCTTTTGGCGGAGCAGACACTGAGTTGGGATCAGAAGGTCAGTGCTCCTTCCTGACCCGGCGGGCGGCTGGGCAGGGGGAGCTGCCCTGTGGCCTGCCGTGTGGGGCAGCAGGAATGAGGGAGTGGTGAGAGACCTCTGGGTTTCTCTCCTTAAGGCCAGAGGCTTCTGACTGGTTGGGAACCTCAGGTCGGCGCCCTGGGGGAGCTAGGCCTCTGTCTCTTTCTACCCAGGCATGACTGTGGGCTTCTCCCACAGATTACCATACATCTTGTTAACATATGCATGCTGCTTTGCGGAGTCCAGGGTGGGGTCTGAGAACCTGCATTTCTAACTTAAGAGCCCTGGGAGAATCCTGCTGGTTGGGGAGCACACTTGGCAGAATAAGGCCTCAGAATAAGCCAGCCACCAGCTGCAAGGAGCTCTCTGCTGTGAGGCCAGGCCCTTTTCCCTGACAGTTTTGTTCCTGTGGCTTCCTTGGGGTCAGGCGAGAAAGAGCCCAGTCCTGCGGGCTTTCTTGGGGGTGGGCAGCCCATCACGGTGAAAGTTCTGCAGCGCGGGGCTTCCTGTTTCCTGCTCTGCCCACTGTTTGTTCCCTTCTCATTTGTTTCTTCGGGTTTTAGTTGTTGGGGGTTTTGTTGTGTTTGCTTTGTTTTAAGGGTCTGCAGGTTTACTCCTGCGCCAGGAGAGGTGCAGCCGTAGGCCAGAGGTTTTCTGTGTGGAGGCAAGTAGTGTGTTTGTAGCCAGAGCTACAGGTAGTGATGAGTGCGGGGTAGCTAGGAATGTGGGCTTTCCTCACCGTCAGTCTTCTTACAACACCAGCTTTCCTTGATGCTGTGGGTCAGCCCCCACAAAGTGTTGTTGACAAAGGAGGTGTTTTGAGAGGTTTCTGCTCCCCCCAAATACAGATGACTGTCCTTTTGAGCCTAAACCAAATGTACGCTAGGACTGAGTTTGGCTAGATCCTTGGCCCACACCTAAAGGAAGATGTTTTGGTTCCCACCTGTGGGGAGCTCAGCTGGGCACTGGGAACTCCAGGATGGCAGGTGTGGCATGCCAGCTGCTGTCTGACCTGTTTCCCCCCACCCTCAGGTGCTCAAGGAGAAAGCTTCCTACCATGCTGTGATGGGGACAGCCCTTTCCCAGGTTGGGGAACATGCTGCTGCTGCTGCCCTTCCGTGTTGGGGTTGTTCCTTTTCTCTTTCTCAAAAACCACTGAGAAACATTCCAACCTTGCCTTGGAATCTGGGGGCATGGTGGAAGATTCCAGCAGGCCACATCCCGGTGTTCTGCATCCCTTGAAGCAAAATTTCTTGAAGGTGTCCTTGCCTTTTGGGCTTCCTAGGGAGAGACCTGCCTCTTCTGGACCCCCCACTGCAGCGAGTTCTGGGCAGACAGAATGTAAGTGCACTTTGGCTGGCCAGGGGTGAGAGCAGTGTGGTAATTGCTGAAGAGGAAGATTCCAGTTACATTGTCTCCTTAACAACCGGCACTTGTGAGGCGTGGGCGGGCGTGGGCGCTGCGCTGAAAGGAGAAGCTGAAGGTGGCCAGAAAGCCTCGCAGGCAATTATGTGGCCCAAGCCCCGGGGGGCTGAGTGATTGAATGCGAAGGTTTTACAAGATTGCTGGTCTCCTTGTTCTAAGAACAGAAGTGGGGGAACTGAGTGGGACCCAGCTGGCAAACGACAGCTGACTCACCTGGGGATGGTGAACTTTGATTAAGACCCTGCATTTGGAACAATAGGCAGGTTGTCCTACCTCCCTAGCTGGCCTAGGGGCTGGGACTCTTCCCCTGCTCTGGTGGAGACCGAGACCGGTGACTTGGGCCTGGGTCATGACCTTGACAAGAGCTGTGCCTTTCTTCCAGCTGAGGCCAAAGAAGCACTAGAAAGTCCAGAACAGCCCTCACTCCATGGACAGACCAGGGAGGGCGAGTGACATCATGGAGATCATATGGGTTTGGGGGCCACGGAGAGGCAGGCTTAAATTCCTGCAGTCCTGCTCAGACTGAGTTGGGCTTCACTGCTCTGGGCCTCAGTTTTCCTCATCTGTAAATCAGGACTAAAAGTGTCCCCACAAGGTCTTGTAAAAACAAAACAAAATAATGTAAACAGGGAGGCTGGCATTGGAGTGTGAGGTTTCTGACCTGACCTGTGCTGTGCAAACTGGGGATTCTGTGGGCTGCAGGGGGGAGGTCGCAGCAGACTGTGCCAAGCAAAACAGCCAGCAGGATTCGTGTGGGCCCAGGACCTCAGTTTTGCCACCCTAAGGAAGGGGAAGGCCCCGTGAAAGCTTCTCAGTGCACCCAGGCTGCTGTTGGTGGGTCACGTGGCTAGATTTTCCGTAGAGCGGCGCTGCCTCCAGCAGGGGCTTGCTCGTGCTGCTGGGCGCCCCATGCTTGAGGCAGACGCAGGAGGAGCCAGGCAGGGTTTCCAGGAGGAAAACTGCAGCCATGGATGAAACCGTGCCTGCTGCCTGGTGTCTCTGTCCTGCACACCAGGCCTCACTCAGTCAGTGACGGTCTGTTGTCGATACCACCCCCTCCACCCCGCCGCAGCCCTCATGGTGCTCCCAGCAGCCTCCAGAGGGTTTCCTGGAGCTCTGCCTGCTGACCTTGCCCTCGGGGAGGCTGCCCCAGAGCACTGCCCCCATAGAGAACCTCTCCAGGAGAGCCTTGGAAAGGGAAGTCCCACTTCCTCTATCTGCTCTCAGCCCCATCGGGGAAGCCTCCAGTTTGGGCTGGGCTGCGCTGGGGCGGCCCCTGAGCCACCTAGGACGTGTCCTGAGAGCACCTGGAGCTGATTTTCCGGGGAGCAGCAGCGCTCAGGCTGCAGAGACCCCCACATGTGTGAGTCCTGTCCCTACGTCTTTGTGTCCTTCTGTGTACATGTGCCACTCTTTTCTGGAGGTGTTGGTTTAGGTTCTGATATAACGCTCAAGTGTTCTGTGTTGTGACTCAGCAGTGGCTGCTCCGGGATCTGGCAGCATCTGCCTTGACCCTTGTGGACACGAGTGGTGTTCTCCAGGGCAAAGTCTGATGCCCGACTGTCCAGTGTCCTTGACTTGTGAGATTGCCGTCCTGGGCAGCTCTGTGCGCTGCCGACTGGCCCTCAGCCCTGTGTTGCTAGTCTGCTCTGTGTGTGTGTTTGGTCCTGGAGGAGGGAGGGGCTGATGAGCGGCTTCCATTTTGGAAATCCTCACTCCCTCCCAGTCACTTCTGTTCTGGAGAGCAAAACTTCGTTTCCCAGAGAAGGGAAGCCTGTAAAGAGAGTGGTTTGGTTTCTTGAAATCAGATACTCTCAGCTGCAGCTAACCATAACCCAACTCAGAGTAGCCTGAGCAATGAGGTTGTCACTGGGTGTCTTAATGGCAGGCTTTAGAGTTGGTTTCATTCGGTGGCTCTGGCCCTGTTTTCCTATTCTAGTCTTGTTTGTGTCCTCAGCATGATTTCCTCATGGAGACAAAATGGCTGTGGTAGAAACAGGCTTCTCACCTGGTGGCCAGAAGTTAGGTGTCTTGCCAGTGACTTTTCTCTAAGTATGAGGAAGCATGGTTTCCATCAGCCCCTGCAAACCTCCCTCATGTCTCACTGGTCTGGGCTGGGCCCCTGTGGGCAAGGGATGCCTTGTCCTGATTGGCTTAGCTTGGTGAGAAGTGAGTATTTCCCTTCAATCAACTGGGCCTCCTCTGAGTAGGGAGGCCTGGGCTTGGGGTGGGGTCAGGTTTCCCTGGAACACTCAGGCCTGTGGCTAGACCCTGAATAAATAATGGGCTACTCTTAAGGAAATAAGAGGAAAGAACTAGGGTCTAGTTCTTTTTATGGTCTTAAGACCATACTAGCCTGTGGTCTTAAAGCCCTTGCCTCTAGTTCCTGGATTTCACTGGCTCTGGTCCCCACTGCAGTGTTGTGGCCCTTCCTCCCACTGCCTTCCCCCACCTTTTCAGGGAGCCCTCACGTGTTAGTCTGCTCTGGTTTCCTGATTGAGGTCCAATGCCTGAAGGGCTCCCAGGCGCCAACAGCTGCTCCTCTGCCCCTGCTGTTCTCTCTTGGGCACTGTCCACCTTCCTGCTATGCAGGCCGAGCACAGCCGGTCTCCCCTGTGGGCAGGTCTCAAGGACTAGGGGCTGGTGTCCCTCTTCAGTCTGCGCCATGTTGTCATTTGGGCCCCCGGCAGGGCTGCTTGTGGCCTTAGTCTCCCAGAGAATCCCCCCTCCAAAAGTCTGAGCTTCTTGCCTCCCTCCGTGCCCTTCCCTGCACCCCTCCTCCCTGCGAGGTGGAAGTCTGTTCACAGCGCCCCGCAGGGGGCTGGCTCCAGACCACCCTTCCAGTGGGCTCTTCTCCCACCCCCAGCATTCATCGGCAACCAGACCCCCCCACCGCCACCATGTACTCTGGGCCCGGCACAGCTCCTGTCCTGTAGCCAGGCCTGCCAAACCCTGTTCTGAGTGGATCCAAGATGGTATCCAAGGTGGGTGGGGTGTTAAAAGAGAGAATTCCCCTCCTGGGCGGCGGAGGGTCACCCAGCTTTTGACAGGTGTGTGTCCTCCGGTCGCCTGTCCTCTGGGTCTTCCCTGTGGGTTTCCTTCTGAGAGGGGGAAATGCGCAGGGCCTGGGGACAGACGCCCAGCCTCTTATCCTCTTGGTTTCTTGTCTTGATTTCTTCCTTCCTTTTTCAGTTAACATTTTAAACATGTAGTTACTTCCCTTCTTCCCAACCCTTGATCTGGGAACTACTATGTTGCTGATTTTGAAACCTACAGGAAAGTAGAAAGAAAACATTCAAGTCTCCTATAGACCTGCAGCTCAGAGAAAAGCACTGGATGTATTTTATTGTCTTTCTTTCCAGTCTTTTTTCAAAATGTGTGAACGGTTTCTCACGAAAATACAGTTGGGTCACACTACGCACAATTTTATGTCCTGCTATTCTCACTGAACGCTCAATTGTGAGTGTTTTCTGTGTCATTAAGTACTATTTCACAACAGCATCGTTCAGTTCCTGCATGGTTTGCTGTTACCTCAGTGTGCCAGGATTTCATTTTTCATTATTTTTGGTGGTGCTGCCATGGGCATCCATGATTATTTGCACAAAATAAATTTCTAGAGGTAAATTGGTTTTCTCTTCCACCTTCCAACCTGAGCACTGTCCCTGTTCTCCAGGGATGGGCCTCAAAGCCCCTTTCTATGCTTGGAGTTCAAATCCCAGCTGAGCGTTCCCATCAACTACTTCCGTGGCACTTGCTGCCGCTGAGCGGAAACCGTCCCCTGGCGGCAGAGGGTCATGCTGTGCCCTGGTGTCCTGGGCCGTGCTCTTTACACAGAAGCCACCCACGGATCCTTTTGAAGCATAAAATCCTACCTCTTCTCATTACAGCGGGAAGATGCCTGAAGTGGACTACGTGGTTCTGTCCGAATGGTTTGACTGGCTCGTGAGGAACATCGACGTGTCTGTCGATTTGATAGGTGAGAGGCCCCTCTCCCTGCCCAGGGCCCCAGGAAAGATGTGCTTGGTGGGACTGCCAGCCAGCAGGGACAGCGGGCAGGGCCCCACCACTGGTGATTCTTTCCCCCACGTTAATTCTGCCTCCTGTCCAAGGGCAGGCAGGATCTGGGGGCTTTGGGTGCCTCCTTGTCTTTATTCCGCAAGCTGCTCTCCCCTGGGTCCATTGTGATTTGATGGTTCTTTCAGTGTGTAAGGGAGGGAGGAGGGACAGAACCAGGACATTTCCCGAGGCCCACTGCGCCAGAACCCCGGGCGAAACTTTGTGCCCATGTGGAACCTCGTTCAGCCTCCCAACAACCCCGTGGGACTGGTGACATGGCAAGAAAATGAAGTGGGGATGAGGGTCCAGATGCCTGAAGGCCACACCGGCGGTCAGTGGTCAGACTGGGAGCCGGCTGTGGTCCATGTCTCCTGCTCCGAGCGCCTGCAGATGATTCTCTCCATGCCTGACACACAGGCCTTCCTTCCCCCTCACCCTGGCCTCCTCTCGCAAGCCACAAACAGAGTAATCGGAGCCACATTCTGGATCTTTAAATCTCAGTGTACCTGCGGACCACTCCCGAGACCTGTTACCAGAGGCTGCAGCTGAGATGCAGGGAAGAGGAGACGGTCATTCCCCTGGTAAGGGCCCCCTGGAACCCGCTCAAAGACCGGGAAGCCACGTCCATCCCAGTCTGGCCCCTCCCTCCATGAGATCCTTGTGCTGTCGCTGTGAGAGAGAAGTGGGAGTTTAGCACACTGCCTGGCAAACCCTGACTTCTACTGTGGCGTGAGACCCTGTGTGAAGTCCAGAGTCGCCTGATTTCCCGGGGCCCCGGATGCTGTGGTTGCCACCCTCTCTGCCCGATGGTGTCCCTTCTCCCTCCCCCTGCCGGGACCCCCAGGGCCTGTCCTGTCCACCTCCTAAGGATTGCTTGCCTCTGTGCCCAGCTCTGGAGCTTTGCTAGAACACTCCCTCCTGCTTGCAGCTACACCTCCAACGCTGAGTGCCGTGCTGGGCTTGGAGGCGGTCCTCTCAGGTCCTTGCCCAGTGCCTTACCCTTCTGGGCTCTGGCTCAGGGCCATGGGGCCTCCTGTCAGGACCGTCGTAACTGTGGGACTGCTCTCCTCTTCCTTCTCCTTCACTCCCCACGTTCCCTCCGAAACTGGGCTTCCAGTTGCTGCTGGGGCGATGTTTCCAGGACAGAACACCATTCCTGCAATTTCCCAGCCACCAACCCTTCGGTGTCTTGCTGCTGTCTAGAATAAAGGGCCCGACGTAGCGTGTCAGCCCAGATTCTGCCAGATCGCCGTTGTCTCCCTCCACTCCCTGCCTTTCATGCTCTGGCCATAGATACCAGTCGTGGCTACAAACACACTCACACTTGCCATGCAGTTACACAAATGTGCCTTTGTGCAGTGGTTTCTGTTGCCTTCCAAGTTCAGCTCAGATGTCACCTTCTCCAGGAGGCCTTCCCTGACCTTCCCTCCATTGTACTCCCCTAACCTCTGGGCTTACGATGATCACGGCACTAAGGACAAGCATACTGAAACTGTTTGTTAAATATTTGTTCCCCGTGCCTTAGCAAACTGAGCTTTTTAAGATTAGGTCTCATTCCCTGCATCCCCAGCAAGTTTTCCAGAGCTTGGCACCTAGGAGTTGCTCACTTAACACTGAACTGAATGCCTCATGTGAATGCCATTGGGACAGAGGCTGGGCAGGCATTTTCTGGGACGTCATGGGAGTCTGAAATCAGGATGGGCTGGTCTGCAGGCCCGGGAAGACCTGTCTGGCTCCTGAGGCCCACCCAGCCTTGTCTTACCCAAACACCAGTAAGGTTAATACCAGCCATGAGGGCGTAGGAGGCCTATGCCCTCCTTCTAGGTAGCTCCTTTGAAATCTAGAAACATGAGTGATGGGAGGAAGGGCGCAGTGGGGCAGGGCTGGGCCAAGCCGTGGTAGGACATGGGCACTCTTTGTGGTGACCCAGATGTTCTGAAGAAATGGCATGTCTGGAGTCCCTCCTAACCATTATTAGCTGGGCCATTATCTCAGTGTTTCTGACAAAGCTTATAGGACGTATCTGTCATCGTCAAAGGATAACTCGGGGACGGATGAAAAGGTGGCCTTGCAGTTTCCCTGGGAGCTTCTGGGCTGGCAGTAAATTGCTGCTTGGGAAGGTGGCCGTGGGTGGCCAGAGCACTGTGGCCTGCGCATGAGAAAGTGTCTGTCCAGTTCTGCCCAATGCAGAGGCACCAATGGCTTAGGGGTGTGTCCGGACCTTCCCCCCGGGTTCCACCTTATGGGACTTTCTGATATTGGTCTTCAGGATCTAGAGGGCCCACAAGGCACAAGTTGTCTGCTGGGTGGAAGCAGCAGGAGGGGGTCTCCTAGGCCAGTGAAGGTCACAGTCTTCTTGGAAAGGACAGAGTGGATAGGGTGATTGAGAGGCTGCCCAGGGCTGGAATGCTCGGCCGTGGAGCAGCTGTGGACCCCACCAAGAAGGAACTGGTGGCCATGCTGACAGAGACGTGGGTGTCAGAAGAGAGGCCAGGTGGATGGTGTGTGCGAGGCCCCAGCGGCGCAGAGTGGCGCTGGAGGGAGGGGGAGTAGGCAGTTGGAGGGGTCCCTCTAACTGTCGCCACGCTCCGGCTGGCTGGGTGGAGGGAGTGGCTGCATTTATGGCTCTCCTCCTGAGCAGGTTGGTGGTTGCAGACCCCTTCATCTAAGCCAGTGCCCCGTGGCCATGAACACTCCCGCCCCCGCCCGATATCCTTGCTGGAGAGGTTTGCTCCCCTCCCCCACGGCCTGTGTGCATTTGTGTGTCTCTGTGTGTGTGTTTCCTGCAGGAATACCTGAACGCTATTCACCACCTCTATGAGGAGTGGCTCATCAAAGGGGGCCTTTTCCCTGTGGCAGCCCCTGTTCTGGTAGGTACCCCTGGCAGGGCTGAAGACTTTTCTGGAAGGAGGAGCGACCCAGGGAACGTCAGCCATTCTGCAGTCCGGGGAAGGGCCAGGTCCTTCAGAGCTGGTGGATTGAAAGGAAGGAAGCAGGGAGGGTAGATGGGGCCCTTTCTCTCTCCTGGTTCCCATTCTAGACTGAGTCTCCGGGTCCGTTCGACAGACCCGGGAGAAGGTGGCCTGTCCCTGTGTCATTACACCGGTGGCCACAGTAGCATCTCACTTATCCAATGTCATTGGTAAAGGAGCGTTCCAGATGGCTGAAGCCTCTAGGCCTGGGTTTTGGCTTTAGCCCCTGGGGATAGTGGTCTCTCTGATGCAACCGTCCCTTCTCCAGTGGATGGCAGCCACGGAGCCTCATTGCCCCATTCCTCGGTGACCCAGGGCATCTGAAGAAACACCGGTCGCTGTCCTGGTCTGTTACACAGTGGTGCCCTTAGGAGGTGCTGAGGTGTGTAGGACGGTTTGCCCTAGACCACTCTTGTCTTGGAGTTCCTGTGTTGGCTTCGTGTAGCAGCTTCTCCTGCCGACACTTGCCACTTCTAACTGCGTGTTGTTTTTGCCCTGCCTTTCCCTGCTTCCCTGTCCTGTCCTCCCCTGATATGCTGCCGCTCAGTTTTTCAGGCAGGCAGATGGATCCCGAGATGGTCGGGAACGTGCACCCAGTGTGGGATCTGAGGGAGGGCCGCGCACAGACTTCTGTGCGTGGCCTGAGGGACATCTGTGTGGGCTGCTCCGACACGTCTACTCATCATGGTGCTTCCAGGCTATGAGGTTGCTGGAAAGTGAGATGTTACTGTACTGGATTTTTAAGGAAATAAAATCTGTTTTCCCCCATCATTATTGGATAATATAAAATGATGGGGGGAAATCATTCACGGGCTAGCTGCAGGGACAACTGTAGCGGATTCTTAAGTGGAAACATAGTTGAGAATGTGAATTAGCCTAGAACCTAGTGCTGTTCTGCTCTAACCCTCCTTTTTATTTGCCTGTGACCTTGGACTTCTCTGCCTCTCCTTGCCTCCTCCTGCCTGCCTCCAACTCTCTCCCTCTTCATCTGTAAAGGGAGGGTGATGTTGAGGTCAAGTGCAGCCCTGTGACCCATGTGTTTAATTTCCAGGTGATTGAGGCTGACCACGACATGCAGAAAATGTTAAAACTCTTTGAACAAAACCGGGACCGAATATTAACTCCAGAGAATCAGAAACATGGTTGTTCATAGGATGGGAAAGATCATGCCAGAAAAATGCCTGCTGCTGCGAGGTTAGCTATTAGGAGCAATTTGGAAATACCCACTCTCGGGAGGGCTTGATATCTGGCCACATTTGTTTTCCTGATGGTCTTTTCCTCTTTGTCACCGTCTTCCTCCTTGGTCTCTGGCCCTTGTGGGTAAATGACAAATGGGACCAATGGGTTTGTCATGCCCTTTGGTGTTTGCAGCCTTGCATTCCCCCAGCACTTCTCCTGGTGGCTTCCCACTGCTGGGTCCCTGTGATTAAGGGAAGAGCCACCCGAAGTTATGCTGGGCTTAGGGTCTCTAACCCTTCCGACTACTCAGGAGGGCGAGGTAGTGGCCTCACATCCCAGGGAGAAAGTTGAAACTCAGAGAGGCTAAGTGACTCCCCCAGGGTCCCACAGCCAGTGACAGTGGTGTTGGCACAATTCAGACTTTTGGTGACTCTAGAACATTCTCTCCTTCATCCTGAGAGCCTGTCTTCCCTTGCTAGAGATCTCACATGTGTATGGGGAGAGCCAGCAGTGTGTGGAGCCAGTGTCATCATTTTCTCATTATCTGAGCAGTTCGCAAGGACAGTCGATGTTCTTAGACTTCCACAAAATTGTGTCGTGTTTGGCTTGAGCCCAGAGTTAAGTGGTTTCCCAGCAGGAGGCTGCCATGGCATTCGCTACCGCGGCATCTGGCCTTCCATGTCCTTAGGAGAATCACGCAGCGGGTCCTGACTGGTGCTTGGTCTCCTTGGTGATGAAGGCCTTGCCAGAGCTGATGCCAGGTCTCAGTCAGGGAAATGGCTTTGGTTCCTGGGTGGTTTGCCCAGGGCCAAGCTGGGGCGAGGGGCCACCAGCCCTGGCTTCTGAGGCCTCCTTACTCTGCTGGCCTCGTGTGAAGAGCTTTGCCCTTGGAATTACTGAGAATCTGTGGCCCAGGAGAGAGACACATGTGGCCTTAAGAATTTTTAAAATGTTTTTCTATCCAAGAGACACTTTGGACCATAGAGCATGAAATCATCTTTACTGGTTCAGAAAATATCTTAGCTTCACTCAGCTGCAACAATGCATCAAAGCCGCAGCTGTCTCTTGAGTCAAGTGGTAAGAGAAAGAAAGAACATTCTTTTAAGAGGGCAATCTGGACTGGAAGATCAGGGCTTGTAAGCAGAGGCTCTTGGAGCACGGGTGCTCCTGATATTTTGGAGGTGGGCCAAGAGAGCTTCGAGAAGCTTGGTTGTAGACATGGGTACGGGTCAGTTGTGACTTTGGGGAAACAGGCCTCAGCCTCTCCTCACAGTGGTTGGCATCAACGAAGGTTAGACAGCCTCATTTTGGCCTCTGCGTGAGTGCGGACTCTGTGCGTGCAGTTCTCTGACTCAATGTGCGTGACTGGAGCCCTGGTGGTCCGGTCCCAGAGGGAGGCAAGCACTGTGACTCCTGGACCAGTTCTTGGGCTCCGTGAAGTGGGACGAGGGGCGGCAGCCCAGCAGGGACGTGTCTCTCTGCCCAAATGTCAGGGATTGACCAGAAGTCTGGGGTCAGGAAGCAGGAGCCTGTGCTGCCAGGTGTCGTGATGAGCCCTGGCCGTCTTTGGGAATTTGTAAGTGAGCAGTCCAGGATTTGCCCCACAGCTGAATTTGAGCATCTCTTTTGGGGGAAATGTGATTTAAACAAAAGTAAAGTCTTGCCCTGTGGTAGCCAATAAATCCTTCACCTAAAACCTGCCGTGAGTCTTAGCGTGCTGCCTCGGCTAGGGATTTGAGCTCTGAGCAGCAGTAGGATAATGTTTTCATTTGTTTAAGCCTCATCTTTCCTAATGTGGGATGTGCGGGTCTGGGAGAGCGCCCCATCCTCTCGCTCTAGGACTGCGGGTGCTGTGGGTCTGCGGACGAGGGTTGCTTTCCCGGTGTGGCAGGTGGGGCCAGTGGCATAGGGGTCGTGGAGCAGTTACAGAAGCAAGGGCAGAAGGAGGGCAGATGGCCTGTGGTGGGCATGGGACCTGGTTTTTAGAGCAGAGGGAGGCGCGCTCCAGGACTCCCAGGAATGGCTGGTGTCTCTAAATTGCCAATACAGTGAGTCAGGGCAATGACATCCCTGATTTGCTGGTGTCACCCCACTCTTACCCTGATGCGGGGTTCCAGAGAGCATAACGGGAGGACGCCCCAGAGCGGCCCCAGCTGCTTTGACCCTTGATAATTAAAAAAATTTTTTGTGAATATCATATACATTTGCTTTTAGTCAGTATTTTCAGTGAAATAATTCTATCTACACTTCAGCTTTTTAATTTTACATGCAAAAGACATGATTGGAATCATTCAGAAATATTTCCTGTACCTGGTGATTAAAAAAAAAAAAAAACAATGAGGCGGAAGTGTATTTCTGTGTTGCATGGGAGTGTGGAGGTGGGTGATTCAAGGCTGGTGTGGTGGCTTCAAGGCCGTCAGGGTTCTGGGCTCTTTCTGGCTTTCAGTTCCCAGCTCAACTTCCTGGTTCATGGCTTCCTTCCTCCAGGGACTTCCCTGCCCTTGGTGGTGCCAGAGCTCCTACTCTGCCTACTGTTGGCATCAGGGCACCCTGTGCCCTGCTCACACGTTCCAGTGTGGATGATGACCTTCTCAAGGCTCAACTGAGATAAGCTGGAAGGTTCTAGGCCTTGGAGGTGGGACAATGACAGGAGGGAAGTCTGGATTCACCAGCTGGACCAGAGGTCTGGTGTCAGGGCCATGGTGCCCTCTGGCCCATCCCGTCCCTCCCTCCTGCCCTCACATCATGTCTCCCTCACCGCCTGGTGCTCTGGTGTCCTCAGCTCAACCTGCCTCCTGCGTTGGGCGGAGCCAGGTGAGGGCATGACCACCGGTCTGCCGCACTCCCACAGCGTGGCTCTCAGGAGGTGTAAATGACACCTCCCTAACTGTCGGCCCTGAGAAATGATGTCACCTCTCCGTTCCTCTTCCTACCCCCTTTCATTTCTATCTGAGCCCCTCACCTAGATGCGATGTGCACCCCTCCCTGCCTGTGGAACACCTCAGTCAGAGACCCTTCCGGGACCACCCGCAGACTCCCACCACCAGACCCAGGGAAGGACTGAAGCATTTACAACTCTGAGAGCAGGTAGATGTTTCCAGAACCTGCCTACCCCGGCTGCTGTTGAATCTGTGCCATGTTGTTTTCCTAGAGCCCTGGAGCCAGATGGGGGCGCTCACTTCAAGTGCTCCCCTGTCTGTGGAATGAGTAACATTCATCCCAGTGGCCTCTCCACCCTGAAAAATTACAGTTATTAAAGTAATTGACGAGCTCCTGGAAATGTCAGCCCTCCCTGTTGAAAATCTAATAACAATAATAGCCCGCCTGGTGCTTCTGGGCTCTGGCGGTGGATTACTCACTCGGGGCCCCAGGGTCACTGGCACGGGCCTTTCTTTTCCTCAGAACCCCAGCCCCGCCGCTCCCCTAAGGCTGAGTGAACTCCGTGTTCCTCTAGTTTACATAAGACAGTGAGCTTGCCAAAGGCGGTCATTAAACAGAAGCCAAGCGAGAGCCAGTCTTGTGGAATCCAGATTAGGTATCGGCATTTACTGCAGTCTTCCTGAATTTCTGCATTTCTTGGCTTTCCCTTCTTCAAGGCTGGGGTCTGTGGAACACAGGTGTCCTAGGAGATAATAATAGGTGTTGTCAGAAAGGGGGGTTCCTTAGTCTAGGAGATTCAGGAAGCGCCACCTGGGAACTTTCTCTGAGACCCACAAGGTGCATTGGTTCAGTTAAACTCGAGCAGTCCTGTGATAAAAACACCTTTTCAACTTTATTAAAGCCAAGGGACTCTCAAATTCATTGACAGTGGAAGCCCTCACTGGGGAATAGCCATTAACAGTCTCCAAGTGTGTGTGTGCTCCTCAGAACACACATTGGGAAAAGCATTGTTTTAGGGGACCTGCAGCTGACTCTCAGCTCTTGTGCCCTTTGGGAGTCTCTAGCTCCTGGTTCTCCGACTTCAGTGCATCTGAGTACCCTGGAGGGCATGTTAAACCAGGGATTACGAGGCCTACCCCCAGAGTTTGCAGTCGAGCAGGTCTGGGGTGTACCTGAGAATCTGTTCTCTCACACCGTTCCAGGTGACCAGGAGGCTGTGGTCCAGGGACCACCCTTGGAGAGCCACCTCTCTAGACTGACATTTTCTAAAATTGGACATCCCAGAATTCCAAGAAACCTTGGCACCTTTTTGGTTGTTGAACATCTTGTGATTGTTGGTTATCCTGTCAAACGAGAGAATTGCTCACCTCTCAGGACTTGGCACATGGAAGGGGCCCGGACCAGGGCCCGGTATGCTGCAAGTGTCCCTGTAAATGTTCGTTCGTCCAATGTGGCCCAGAAAATGGGACCGTGACGCAGTTACTTGGTGGAGGAATGGCAGCAGCTGCACTGACTGGCACTTCCCGTCAGAGTGGTGTGGACGTGTGCTCTCACCGGCTCATCAGGGGCCACCATGACTGATGTGTTCAGTGGGCACAGGCCACAGGCCTGGTGGAGGCTGACCTTCGGGACTGTACCTCTGAAAAGTGCCTCATGGCCTCTCTGGAATAACAGAGCATGGGGTAGGCAATTGGCCCTTCTCTTCATTTTAAAAATGTTCCTCCTTCTCATGGGGTCTCGATCTGTACCTGGCATCCCGTGGCATGAGAGGGAGGCCTGGAGAGACATAGCTGCTTCTCAGGCCATGGGACGGACATTTCCTGTACCAATAAGGTCCTGGATTCCTTACACAATAAACTGATGGTTTTCTGTTCTGTCTTCTTGGAGATCTCCTTCTCACTGGGCTCAGGTCACCACTCACTCGTCCTTTCCCTAATGCACAGAGCAGATTTATTTGTAGCCAGGGATGTGTAGATGTTGGCAGCTCTGGGGTCATCTTAGGAAATGCCCAGAGAAAATGGTCAATGGCCAGTCGTTAAGTTTTAAGTGAATCTTACCTTTTGGGATCCAGTTGGCTTTATGAGTGGGACTTGGGCTTTACTTGGGCTTTACTTGGGCTTCCCAGTTTCCTTGGTTTTTGGGTGCAGAATCTTGGACAGATCACCTCACTTCTCTGGTCCTGTTTCTTCCTTCTCTGGACACTGGGGTTCTATTTTGTCCCTCATGAGGAGAGAGGCTACACAGACTATGAAGGGGTAAGTTAAATGAGGGATGGACACAGACGATCTGGAGCCGTACCAGGCTATTCCCTGCTCCTTCAAACCCCTTCCAACTCTGTGTAGTTGGCTGGAGAAGAGACCAGACTTTCTTGTACCTTCCTGGAGTGGGAAGCTGTTGGTGGGCTGCTCCAAGCCAGGGTGGTGGAGATCTTGCATTTTCATTTTATTTATTTATATATTTAACATATAATGTATTATTTGTTTCAGGGGTACAGGTCTGTGAATCATCAGTCTTACACAATTCACAGCACTCACCATAGCACCTACCTTTCCCAGTGTCCATCACCCAGCAACCCCATCCCTCTCACCCCCCTCCCTTCCAGCAATCCTCAGTTTGTTTCCTGAGATTAAGAGTCTCTTACGGTTTGTCTCCCTTTCTGGTTTCATCTTGTTTCATTTTTCCGTCCCTTCCCTTATGATCCTCTATCTTGTTTCTCAAATTCCTCATATCAGTGAGATTATATGATAATTGTCTTTCTCTGATTCACTTTTTCGCTTAGCATAATACCGTCTTGTTCCACTCACGTCATTGCAAATGGCAAGATTTCCTTTTTTGATGGCTGCATAATATTCCATTGTGTGTATATACCACATCTTTACCCATTCATCTGTGGCTTTATTCATCCATCCATGGACATCTAGGCTCTTTCCATAGTTTGGCTATTGTGGACATCCCGCATTTTCATTTTTAAGACCTGGTTCTTCATCAGGGCTACGGGGGAGTTAGTAATTCACCATCTTCGCCAGCCATTTTCTCAGCCCAGAGTCCTCAGGCCATCTGTAAGCAGTCTTCTGTTCTTTCCCTGTCTTTCGACAGCACTTCCCATGTATCAGTCCTCTGCCAGGCCCTGTGCTGGGTGAGAAGTGCACACTGGTGAACAGGCCAGACGGGTCCCCTCCACTAATGAAGCATGTAATTTAGCTCCTCATAGATGCCCCGACCTGAAATATCTCTGAGAAAACCCACACTGGGGCAGGAGGGCACCAGTAGCCTCAGCACTCCTTTCTGCTGGGGAAAAGAATTAACAACTTAATATATTCCAAAAAATCAGTGACAAAAGTAATACAAACAATAACATTTTTAGTGAAGTAGCAGGATACAAAATTAGCATATGAAACAAGAAACCGGTCATAATGGTAGTGAAAATCCCATTTACGATGGTAACTAAGATGGTTGCATGCTTTGGAATAAATTTAACAATATATGTACAAAAACATAGAAGAAAAATGCTAAAAACTCTCCTCAAAGATAGCAAATAAGACTTGAACATATGTAAAGACATCCCATTCTTGGAAAGGAGGACTCATCAACCTAAAGATGTCAGTTCTGCCTAACTTAAGTTACAAATTTAATACAATCTCAGTAGAGACACCATAGTCTATTTTATGGAATTCTACACATCATTCCACAGTTCGTATAGCAAAATGAACATTCAGGAGTAACCAGGAAACCACTCAAAAACAAAAATGATAATGGAGGACTAGCTTTACCAGACATGCAAAGGTATCTAAAACCTCTAGTATTAGAACAGTCAGGTGCTGCTGCACGAATAGACAAAACAGTGAATCAAATAACTCAGAAATAGACCTGAGCACACGTGGAAATTTACTCCATGATCAAGATGTCATCTCCAATCGCTGGGGTAAAGATGGACTTTTAAACACATGGTGCCAAGGTGATCTTTTGGGGGAAAGATAAAGATAGATCCATATCTCACACCATACCCAAGAATAAACTCCAAGTGGTTAGGGATCTAAATGTAAAAACTTGAAACCAGGCAAGTACCTTGATTTAGGGAAAGCTTCCTAACTGTGATTCAAAATCCAAGGGCAGCTAAAGGTTAATCCATTTGACTAAGTAAAAATTTTTAAAAATTGTGTGATAAAACCCATCATGAACAAAGTCAAAAGACCAGAAACCGGGAGAAAATGCAATTTACAAAACAGACAAAGGGGGGGTATTCCTAACTACCCATGAAGAATTCTTTAAAAATGCAGGGCAAAGGACCAAAAATCAAATAGAAGAATGGGAAAAAGATGTGAAAGACAATTTACAAAAAAGATCTAAAAATGGTCTGTAAAACATGTGAAAAACACTCAAATTCAGAAATACAAATGCTATGGTCTGAATATTTGTGTCCCCCCACCCCTACCCCACCCCGCCCACCACCAAATGCACATTTTGTAAACATAATGCTCAAGGTGATGGTATTTAGGAGAACCCGCGGGAAGTGATTAGGCCATGAGAGCAGAGCCCTCATGAATGGACTCAGTGCTGTTATTGAAAGGGACCCCACAGAGCTCCCATGGCTCTTCTACTATGTGAAGACACAGCAAGAAGTCAGCAGTCTGCAAACTGGCCAAGAACCTTTGCCAGAACCCAGCCATAGTGGCACTACATTGTACTTCCAGCCTCCAGAACTGTGAAAAATAAATTTCTGTTGTATGTAAGTCAGCAGTGTGTGGCATTTTGTTATAAAAGCCCAAATGGACTAAGCAAATTAAAAGAACAGTGACATACTATTTCTCGCCTACCAGACTGGCAAAACAAACCAAACCAATCCAAAACAACAAACACATTCTGTTGGTGAGGCTGTGGGGAAACAAGTGCTCACATACGTTACTGGTGGGAGTACACGTTTGTACAGCCCTTCTGGAGAGAAGTTTGACGACAGCTAACAAACTACACCTGTACTTACGTTGTGACCCAGCAATCCCACTTCCGGGTTCCAATATATACTTCCTACAATATGAAAATATCCATGCACCCGGTTATTTATTGCAGCATTGGTTTTAACTGCAAAATAATTGGAAACAACCAAAAGATTGTACATAATCGCTAAACGAACTACGGTACAGCCACACAGTGGAGTAGAAAAAAGAATGAGGAAACTCTGAACGGGTGTGATTTCCAGGATGTAAAGAAATGTTGAGTGAAAGCAAGCAAACAAACCAATATCCAAAGGAGTATCTTTGGTACGTTACTTCCTATAAAAAGGAAGAAGAGACCTAAGAACTACACAGATGCAGAGGAAATGCAGGAAGGATAATCCAGAAACTGCACAGACTGGTGAGCGAAGAAGGCTGGAGAGAGGGAAGGATGGGATGGGGTTGCAGGGAGGAGAAGGGAATGATTCTTGTGTGAATGTGACTTTGTGTCACTGACTCTTAGAACCGTAAGAATGTGTCACTTTACCCCCTCAATAAACAAGATCAACTAGAACGTAGGGGAAATGGAACACAGAATACGAACGTAGCTGATCCGGACAGCGTGGCAAGTGAAAAAATGGCCACACTGGAGGGCAGGGGAATGGGAATAAAGAAGTAGCCTGAGTAACTGGAAAACAGTGTTTTGACTGGATGCAGAAAGAGTAAAAGCAAAAATCACTCTTCCTAGATGGCTGTCCTATAGATTTACAAGTGTTTCTCATGGAGGTATGGTCAGCAATTCTGGAATTACAGTAATAGACTCGAACACATAAGTAGACAGTAAAATATTTTTTAAGATTTCATTTATCTGACAGATTGAGAGATCACAAGTAGGCAGAGAAGCAGGCAGAGAGAGGGGGGAAAGCAGGCTCCCTGCTGAGCAGAGAGCCTGATGCGGGGCTCAATCCCAGGACCCTGATACCAGGGACCTGAGCTGAAGGCAGAGGCTCAACCCACTGAGCCACCCAGGTGCCCCAAGTAGTCTGTAAATTAAGAGAGCTGGGTTCATTCTCTTCTAGAGAAGGAAGTTATAAATAAAAGGGGACAGGTAGAATAAACCCAGTGAGGTTGGATTAGAAGCAGAGGTATCAGTATAAACTCATGGTTTTAAAGTTCTATGTAGTTACGGAAGTAGAGCCACATGTGTATATGCATGGGTTAGGACACATCCCTGTGTTTCCTGACCATCCCCTGAATAGGCTTGGAAGCAGTGACACCTGGTAACAGTGAGCACACCTGGCACCTGGGTCTTGGTGTCTAAACATCATTCTCCAATAAAAGGAACCATGACTCCTAGGACAAGGGATTTATTCCAGGGATGCAGCAGGTAAGTATCACCCATAATAAGATGTGTTAATGTTATGAACCCTTTGATAAGATGCACCAAGGACACAGCAAAGTTTTTTCATGATTTTTTAAAAAGATTTTATTTATTTATTTGACAGAGATCACAAGTAGGCAGAGAGGCAGGCAGAGAGAGAGGGGAAGCAGGCTCCCCGCTGAGCAGAGAGCCTGATGTGGGGCTCCATCCCAGGACCCCAAGACCACGAACCCAGCCAAAGGCAGAAGCTTAACCCACTGAGCCACCCAGGTGCCCCAGTTTTTTCATGATATTTTGCCAGAAATGCATAATTCAGCCATTAAAAAAAAAAAACCCACCACACTAGACAAACCCAAATTGTGGGACATTCAATGAAGCAAAACTGGTCAGTATTAAGTTCTGATCCAAAGCATCAAGATCATGAAAGACAAGAGACTGAGACAGTGTTAGAGACTGGAGGAGAGGAAAGAAAAATAAATGCCATGTGGGATCCTGAATAGGCTCCTGGAATGTAGAAAAAGTGTAGTAATGGGAAAACTGATGAAATTTTTAAAAGGTACGTGGTTTTGTTAACGCTGTATCAGTATTAGTTTCCTGTTCTTGACAGTCATACTGTGGTTATGTAAGATGTCATGTTCCGGGGAAGCGGGGAGAGGAGTATAAGGGAATTCCTTGTGTTGTTTTGTAACTTTTCTCTAAATTTAAAATTAGTTAAAATAATTCTCTTCCTGGGAAATAAAAGTAGAACACAATACTATAAATATACAATCCCACATTTACAAGTAAAGACCAAGGGGTGCCTGGGTGGCTCAGTTGGTTGGGTGTCTGACTCTTGATATGAGCTTGGGTCTTGATCTTAGAATTGTGAGTTTGAGCCCTGCTCTGGGCTCCATACCAAAAGAAATTAGGCCAACACCATAACACTGAGTACCTCCCAATGGTGGATATTATGGTAACTTCTGCTTTTGTTTTCATATTCATCTGTATTTTCTTTTTTTGAAGATTTTATCAATTTACTAGAGAGGGGAGTGCAAGTGGGAGAGGAACAGAGGGAGAGGGACAAGCAGACTCTGAGCTGAGCACGGAGCCCGACTCAGGGCTCGATCCCACAACCCTGAGATCATGACCTCAGCCGACATCAAAAGTTGTACACTCAACCTATTGAGCCACCCAGGTGCCCCTCATCTGTATTTTCTAAGTTTTCTACTCGATGGTTTCATTTGATGGATCCTTGGAAACCATGGTGAATGAGTCAAGGGGAAGTTTCTCAGCTTATGTTCTAGTGTGGGAAATGGAAAAATGAATCAATGAAATGTCTTCGTGTAGAAAATAAACCAAGCTGATGTGATAGATGGGTGGCCGGGGTCTCTCCAAGAAGGTGACTTGTGAATAACAAGAAAGATGGGGATGGGGTGCAGAGTGGGGAAGTGAACAGTTTGCACAGAGGTTGGGAGGTAGGAGTTGGCTTAGCTTGTTGGGGAACCTAGAAGATACCAGTGTGTCTTGTCTGAAGTGGGTTGCGGGTGGGGAAAGGGTGCAAGATGAGGTCCACAGGATAGTAAGCCTCTGGGGCTTGTGGCCTTGGGAGACCCTGGAGAAAATTGAGCAAGAGAATCCTGGAACTTGGTTTAGACAGGGACCTCTGGCTTCAGCTTGTGCATAGATGGGGTCATTTGCTTGCATGGGGAGTCCTATGGGGAGAGCAGCACCTCTGGATGTACCCATTGTGTGCAAGTGTGTGTGTGTGTGTGTGCGCGCGCGCGCACACGTGGGAGCAAGAGGTGGCTGGTGGAGGGGGGACGCAGCCCAGATGAGGGGAAACCCGACGGCTGGATAGGGAGCCAGCATATGATCCTGAGCACCAAAGTGTGGTTTTGTTCTCTTTTTTTTCCCTAAGATTTTATTGAGGGAGGGAGAGAGAATGAGCAGTGGGGAGAGGGGAGGGGAAAAGAGAGAGTGAGAGCGTGATAGAGAGAAGCAGTCTCCCCACTGAGCCAAATCCCAATGTGGGCCTCGATCCCAGGACCCTGAGACCATGAGATGAGCCGAAGGTAGGTGCTTAACTGACTAAGCCACCCAGGCGCCCCAGGTTTGTTCTCTGTTAACCAGAAATTAGCAGCGAGAGAGGGGAGGCCGACAGAGGAGTCTAAGCAGGTTCGGAGTATAATCTGAGTCTGTTTATCTACACAGCTGTCTTTTCATCTGCCCTGTGACAGGTGCCTTAAGGATGCTGAAGGAAACTGCCCCTCGGAGGTGCCCAAAGGATTTGGAGGGACAGGAAGTACCCAGAGGGAGGCAAGAGGGGGCGCTGCGCACCCCTCATCTCTCTCGCTCTTCCCAGCTTTCTGTGAGTGGGTCTCACCACACTCGCTTTACCCATGAGGAAACAAGGCTCAGAGACAGTGAGTGCCCCAAAGTTCCACAGTCAGTAGGTGGCAGGGCTGGGACCCGAGGGACAGATGAGCAGACTTCTCCCTGTGCCTGTCAAGCTGTGGGTCCCAGCTCTGCTGCCTGAGTGGTCACTTCCCTGGTGGAAGAGCTGTGTCCTCAGTCAGGGTCCCGGTACCATCCAGTGGTGACATTTTCAGCTGTTGCCTGAATGGTGGTCTTGGGTGGGAACTCCCAGCTCCCACACGAGGGAGATAGTGAGTGTTGGGGGGCTCTCGTACATGAGAGGGCGTCTGAGTCGCCCTCCAGGGCCGAGTGACCGTATTGTCTGGGCTGCCACCCTTGCTGGCTGGCTCTGGCCCCCTGAGAGGCTCTAGTTCACTCTCTTCAAGCCCAGGGCCTGGGAAGCCCCTCGGATGGCGCACTAGAGTTGGGGGTCCAAGGAGTTGGGAGAGGCGTTCACAGAGCTCATCCATCTCAGAGGAAGTGTTTGGAGGAACAGTGTCCGTGCCAGGGGTGGCCAGCTCTGGTTCTACTTCTGGCTTTGGGTCCAAGGACTTCCCAGACAGTTGGGGACCTGGTGTCAGGCAGAGCTGGCTGGGTACGGTGACCACTGTGTTCTCAGGAGCTGCATCAGGGACCAGGGACCACTCATTGCTGCTAGCTAAGGAGGTGACTGCCTCACCTGAAGGTGGGCTGGGAGCCAGGCCTGGGCCCTGGACTTGCCCTCCCTTCAGGCTGCTCGGGAGAAAGTCCTTGGGGAACAAGGGCGTCTGGTGCAGAACAAAGTCACTGTAGCAGGTCAAGAACTCCTCACTGTCTGAGTATGTGCTGGCGCCCCTCTGGGAGTCTAAGGGGAGCAGGGGGCCAGCAAGGGGGGTGCGGGGCAACGTCGAGACCTCAGACAGACTCAGGGCCTCCGGCACAGTGCTCTGATGGTCAGGGCCCTCAGCCAGGGCCCTCTCAGACCCCAGCCCTTCTGGGGGCCCCAGACCTGGCCGGGTCCCTTCGGGGCAGTTGTGGGCCTTTACCAGCCTTCTCCCTGAGCTGCGCCTGGAGTGGGGCCTGGCCGATTCCTCTCTTCCCAGTCCCAGGACCTGCCTGCTCGAGGTTTCCAGAATGGCCTCACATGCAGCTCTCGCCAGGAAGATCTCAAACACCATCTGCTTGGCGTCCTCCTTGCCGGTGGCCTGGACTAGCGAAAACTCTGCCTCAGAGGTGGCCGCGTAGCCCAGCCTGCCCAGAAGGGTGTGCATCATGTGTTTGGAAAGCACAGGCTGCACCCGGTAGGCGAAGTTCCCAGTGTAAGTCTGGAACCAACAGGGGTATTCATTAGAGATGGGACACAATGCAGCAGAGTGGCTGTGCGTGGCAGTGAGTGGCCAGGCAGGACTGAGGGCTGATGCCCGGGGGCATTGGAGGCTCTTGAGAAGCAGTGGTCTGGAGCATGTGGCCAGAATGGACATCTGGTCCATGATCATGTTATCCTCTGTCCCATTTTACAGAAGAGCACACTGAGGCCTAGAGACTGAACAGGACCTGGGCTCAAGTTAAACATAGCAAGAGAGTAACTGAGCTGGGGTGAGGCTCCGATATCCTGGATCCCAACCCAGCAGTCCTGGCCTGGAGCTTGAAGAGATTAGTTTCCAGAGCCAGATTCCTCCCCTTGTTGATTATGAGTTCCTCGGTTCCTCCTCTTTGGAGAGGCCGTATGGTCTAGTGGCTGGATGCTGTGCTGCCTGAGTTTGAGGCCTATCTGGGCTACTTATTAGCTGGTGACTATGGATAAGTTGCATTAACCTCTTCTGCTCTCAGTTTCTCCACCTGTAAAATGGGACCAGAGTCAGTGGACAGGATGGATATGCTGTCCCCCCCAGATGCAGAGCTCTGGCCCCTACCCGAGACCCCTTTGCTCAGAGGCATGGTGGTACCTACCTTCAAGGACCTGATTTCCTTCCTCCAGGGAAACAGAAGTAGGTTGACAGATATGAGCTCCAGAAACTCTAGTGCCTGTACCAGGTTGTGGCAGACATGCCGGGCAGGGCTGGGCGCCCCCTGGGAGTGAGTGGTCCCCGGATCAGGGACCAAAAGCTCAGGCAGATAGAACTGAGAGGGGGCTCCCGTGGCCAAGAGCCGCTGGGCCCTGTGGGTGAGGGCTGCGTCCCTGCAGACCCGCAGCCGGCCTGCCCCTGCCTCCTCTTGGTAGTAGCTGACGAGGTCACCCAGGAGGGACTCCAGGGCAGCCTCCTCTAGGCCCAGGGGTCGAGGCTGGCTCATGGTGGCTCCAAGGGCCTGGGTGCCGAGGAAATCCGTGGGCCTCCCCAGGCCGGGCCCAGGCTGGCCAGCCTTTGGCCCGCCCCAACGCTCAGACAGGAAGCCGAGGAGGAAGTGGGCTAGCAAAAGAGAAAGCTGCACACGGCCCGGCCCACCACTGCTTGTCACTCTGGGGAGCTCCGACCTGAGAGTGGCTGGGGCTGGGCCATCTCCCCACACCCCCCACCCCCCACTGCCGCCCTGGAGCAGTGCCAAGTTCAGGCTCCTTCCTCGCCCGTCCCCAAATGGGAAGGCAGATACAGCAGCACCCACATCCGTCTGCACCCGTGCCAGCCTGTGGCCTTCAGCCCACTCCGGATGTGCCTGGCCAAGGTCCTTACACTCCTGCTTGAGAATGTTCTCTGGCTACAGGAGTGTGCCCTGCTGGTGTGCAGAACAAACGGCGAGGGCCAGGATGTTAACACCCAGGCCCAGCCCTCGGCCAGCCAAGCAGGGGGGCGCACAGACACCCTAGCTTCTTGCACTCGGTGGGACAGTTCCGACGTGTGTTCGCCCTTGCCCCCCAGCGGTGGCCCATAGCAGTAACCTGCTCACGAAGGCACGCTTTGTGGGTTCACGTCCCTCCCTTGTCTTCGTTCCCTACTTCTCCTGTGCTTCCTGCCATCACTGCCCAAAGAAAATGTACACCAGTCCTTGGACTGTTTTTGGGGTAACAGAGCCCACTAGTTATCTGTGTACTCTCGACCCTTGACCATCTCTCTCCCTCCCAGCCTTCTACCATCCATTTTCATTTTTGTTTTATAGCTCACTGGTTTATACTCAGACTCGAGATTCAAATTCTGCCCTATGGCCCCGGAGGGGTGGGGATCATGCTACAATCTCACCAGATCCCAGTGTTCCCTCAGGAGGAAGTAGATTAAAATGACAATAGAGATGGGGCGCCTGGGTGGCTCAGTGGGTTAAGCCTCTGCCTTTGGCTCAGGTCATGATCTCAGGGTCCTGGGATCTAGCCCCGTATCGGGCTTTCTGCTCAGTGGGGAGCCTGCTCTCTCTCTCTCTCTGCCTTCTTGTGATCTCTGCCTGTCAAATAAATAAATAAATCTTTAAAAAAAATGACAACAGAGGAGATTTTCTCTTTTCATACAGACCCAGGTATAAATTAGGGCAGCACGGTTAGGATCTGGATTCATCCCACTGTCTGAGCCCCTTCCCACATGGTGGGACAAGGTGCATTTGAGGAGATATGGGTGAGGGACAGTTTTCAGAGTTGGGCTTCCTCCCTTTCTTCCTTCCTCCTTCCCTCCCTCCCTTCCTTCCTTCCTTCCTTCCTTCCTTCCATTCAATCACCCAATACTTAATTAAGTCATGATTCACTCATTCAGCCACTCAATGACTCACTCCTTCCGTGCGGGTCAGCATTTCTCAAAGGGTGCTCCACAGGGAGCCCTTAGTGGGGGTTCATAATCAGTCTTATGTGAGTAAGAGTTTCCTGTGGCCAAATAAATTCTGCTGGGCTACTGAAGGGTCCCCTCGCTCCTCGGCTCTAGGACTTCTGGAGCAGGTGTCCGGGTGTGAGTTTCTGGGAGGGGGCAGCACGTGCACTCTATCCTGACTTCTCAGATGTTGGGTCCCCTTTCATGTCCTCCCATGATGCTTGGGGAAGAGCTGTCCCTGGGCAGCCAGCCTGTGTCCCCGTCAGTGCCGTCCTGGGGGCTTCAGAAGCCAACAAGACAAAGCCCCAGCCCTGGGGTGGCTCACAGCTTGGAGAGCCCCAAGGACGGGGTGGTGTGACCTGTAGTAACTCAGCCCAGGATTCTTTCTCATCAGCTTTCTGTGACACCAGGCTGGCCTCCGGGCCCTCCAGTCACCAGGAAGGGCATCTGCCTGGTGCTTGGCCTTGTAGCTGCCTCAGACTTGGCCTCGCCACATCTGGGGGCTCTCGGATCCTTGCCTCTAGCTCCCCTGCCTCTTGCAACCTCTCTTGAGCCCCGCGGCCCAAGGGGAATTCTATCCCCGTGCTTGGGAAGTCACTTTCTCATTGGAGGACTCCTTGATAATGGGTTGCCAGGGAGCAGCACCTCTCCTCCTGAGCCCGTCCTGGAGGGTAGCAGGTGTCAGTTTCTCATTCTCCTCTTCCGCCCCTTCAATTTGGCACGTCTTCTCTTACGCTGACCCTGAGGCCTTCCCCTGGGGACGACCCCTGGGGTCCTATTGGGTCTATCTGGATAACCCAGGTTCGTTGCCTCCTCTGAGTGCCTTCGCCACGGAAACTAACACAGTCTCAGCTTGTGGGAATTTGGACCTGCACGTCGTCGGAGGCTGTTACGCAGCTTACCATGCCAGAGGTATGAGACCCAAAGCCATGCTTTTCCCTTGATGCCAAAGATTTATAAGGGCAGAGAAGGGGGAATGGTGGATTTGGGCGAGGGGATATGTAGAGTTCCAGGCCACTGAGCTCTGTGGAAGAGGCCATCGCCAGGCCAAGGAAAGGTGGTGGTGGTGGTGGTGGTGGTGGTGTGTGTGTGTGTATCTAACACAGAAGGGCCTTCATTCTCATCGTCTCTTCATCTCTGTTTCTCTCCTTGGCCCCAGGCGGATTTGCTCCCTAAGGAGAGGGCTGGAGTGGCTTGTATTTTTTTTCCTATTTAAAAAAAAAATACTTTATGTATTTATTTGACAGAGAGAGACACACACACGGAGAGAGAGAGCACACGAGCAGGGGGAGCGGCAGGCAGAGGGAAGGAGAGAAGCAGGCTCCCTGCTGAGCAAGGAACCCAATTTGGGCTTGATTCAGGACGATGAGATCATGACCTGAGTGGAAGGCAGATGCTTAACGGACTGAGCCACCCCGGCACCCCCTTTTTTCCTATTTCTATTAATAGCCAAAATTGGTACACACAATTTAATCTCCACTGCCACCCCCCATCCCATGTAATTCTTCTGTTGCTTTTAGTTACTTATTGATATAACCACTTCACTCATTCTGGACATCTTGTTCCTCAGCTCTGGGGAAGTCCATCGTGCCTGTGAATTGTGTCTCTAGGTTGGGCCAAGAGTGTGGTGGGGAAGGCTGGGCCGGGGGCCTGGAATTCCCACTCTGTCCTCTGGTGCCTGGGTCAGCCCAGCTTCTCCAGGACCAGCTTCCTCCCCACCAGACCTCTGCAGCCTCGTCAACTGTCAGATTTGGTGTTGTTGTCTGGGCCCTCTGGTGAGTGACTGGCTTAGTGAGAACCTTTCTCTGCCTGCCGGGCTGACTAACTTTGGTGACAATGCAGGAGACGGGGAGTGAGGGGGGCACTGGAGATATGCGGGAGCTGTGGTGGGGTCGGGGAGGGTGGGGGTCCCGAGGTCCAGAGAAGGAAAGGACCTGGCTCAAAGTCACAGTGAACTGATGACAGAAGTAGGGACAGCCAAGCGTCTGGGTCCCAGCACCTAGCCTTTCCTCACAGCTATCCCTGCTGCCCAAAGGCTCCCAAGTCCCCTGCAAAGCCTAGGAGCTCAGGGACACTCAGGACCCCCAGGGACTACAGGGGTGGGTGCTTCCTGGTCAGGGGCTCCCAAGTCTGGAGGTCTGCACTTACCCTCCTCTAGGCCGTTGCACACAGAGGAATTTGTTTCCATTGTAATTGAACAGACTGCTCTGGTCAGTTGTCCACTCCATAAGGCCCCCCGATCCCTAGGGTTCACCACTCAGAGAAGAATCATCCGAGTCTGGCAGGGATGGCTCAAATACACAGGGACAGGCCAGGAAGGGAAGGGCGGGCAAGAGGATGAGACGTCAGAGCCCAGCAGTGAGATAGGCCCTGAGGTTGGGCCATGAGCCAGCCAACACAGACGTGGGACGTCCACAGCCATTGCTCCTCTGGGAGAATGAAGGTGACATGGTGGGCAGCAGAGCCAAGAGAGGCAATACACCTGCCCATATTCTTGGATCTCCTGGATGCAGCCGAGCCTGAAGTCAGAATTATCACTTGGACAATTTAGTTACATGAGTCAATAAATATCCTTAAGAGGGTTCAAGTTGGGTTTCTGTCTCTTGCAATTGAGTCATGGAGATAGGTAATGGGTCTCAGAACCTGCCAGAGGATAGAGGGTTCCCCTTTTAAAAGTTGCCCCCCTCTCCCTGTAATCCAGGTGGTGTGGTTTTGTGGTGGGTCATGGAGCAGGCAGCTCCCAGCTGTGGAGCAGAATGCTGGCCAGCCCCAGGACCTCAGGCTTCAGGTTGGGGAGGAATTAGTGTGGTAAGGCTGGGGCTGTGACAGCAGGGGCTGGGGACCTGGAGCCTTGGGATTCCTGGGAGAGATGCCTAGCAGGCACAGGGGGACTGCGACCCTGGGGGGCAAGGGCGTGCCCAGCCCCCAGCCCCGACATACCAGGCCTGACCAGGTAATTAGCTCTGATTGAGAGAGTTCACCTGACTTGGGAGGTTCAGTGTGAGGTCAAGCAGAGCAGAGCCGATGACCAAAGATTCGCGCTCTCAGACGCTGGAACTGCTTGTCGTTCTACCACTCATGCCCGTGACCTGGTCAGTCATCAGGTGGACACAGCGGTGGCACCTGAGTAGAAGTGGGTGGCCTCGGAGTGTGCACGGGGGACCCCTGAGCGTGTGGGCGCCTAGTGTGGGGCACTGGCGTGTGTGCCCCAAAGCCGCCCAAGCGGGCGTGTGTGTAGCCAGGGGCGGTGGGAGCTGAGTGAAGCACACATAAGCGTGTGTCGGAGGGTGTTGCGAGGAACTTGGTGTGAGAGACCCCTCTGTGTGCATGTGAGGGGGCAGGCTTAGTTATTTCGAGCCAGGTGGTGTTCTGAGGGGGCGGCTGTGGGTGGCCAGACTTTGTATCAACCCTCCTTCCTCTCTTGGGTAATTCGGGCTGCTCATGGGTGGCCAATGTTGGTGGTGCCCTGTCCGAGACCTTGGAGTGCGCCGTGCCTGTGCATACTGGCCCGGTGGCAGAGCCTGCTGACTGTGGGGATAACTTTACCTGCCAGCCGTGGCATTCCCCCATCTGAAGACTTTCTTTGGCCACAGAAGCCCACTTGGCTGCACCAGGGACAAGGAGAAACAATGGCCCTGAGAGTCTGTGAGCTACTGTGAGTGCTGTTTCCTTTCCTGTCTGGTAGCTAACTTTGAGGTGTGCTCTCCACTGCCTCCTCGGAGGGGGACCTGTGGGACCACAACACCCTGAACTGCCTTCCTTTCCTTCCTTGTTTCGCTGCCCTCTCCATCTGGGTGCTCCTGGGTCACCTCCCTCATCAACCCCTGGTGCCCTCCCCTCCTGTCCCAGGATCTGGTCCTGCCGCATCCTGTTCCCACCATCCTGAGAATTGTCACCTCCCTTCTCACTGGGCCCCTGATGAGCCCCACTGCCTGGGGTGTGCTGCTCGGCCCCACCCCTCAGGTCGTGGCAGAGAGAGGCCAGTCTCCTTGTAGGAGTGTGCTGTAGGACCTTGCATGTGGCGCCATGTGTAGACACAGGATGTGTCATGGATGGGGGAGGCAGGAAATGCCAAGCCCCGCAGTCTCCTGGGCTGGTGGGGGATCCTGTGTGTCATTGGAACTGGGTGTTGGTGTAGTTCGCGCTGGAGTGGCTGGACACCATCGCCGTGGTGCCACATTCATTCTGGACAAGAGGGCCCCAGAGCACAGAGGTGGCCCCTTAGCCACACACACTGGTGTTGAGGTCGGAGGCGTGATTAGTTTGCATACAGGGAGGGGTGCTTAGGCCTCAGGCTTACGCAGAGAGAAAGGCTGGGGGGCAGGCGGGATTCCTGAGACTAGAATGCTTGACTGGCTAAGTCTCACGGAATATCACCAGGGTGGAAGACCAGTTCAGAACCCAAACAGGTTCTGTCTACAACTGCTAATGTCGGTGCGCGGTAGGTTTGCAAGTGAGAGAAGGGAAGTGCGTGCTATTTTTCCAAGGCCGACCTGTTGGCTTTGAACAGTGACAGCAGGCGGCCAGCAGGTGGCAGTGTGGGCTTGGAGTGGGTGCAGGATGGCTGGGGCCTGGAACTGGCGCGGCACTTTTCTTCAGGACTGAGCCCCACTTTCAGGGTACTCCTGGGTCTAGGACTCTGCTGGTGGATGCCACTCGAGTTTGAGTGGGAGGGAAGGGTGACAGAGGAAGGCAACCAGCCTCTGTCAGAGAAGGGATTAATGAACAAAGCTGAGGTCTTACGGAGAGCACAGAAAAGAATTTCTGCAAGGGGAAGAAAGCAACTCATCTCCGTCTAATTACCAATCCTCCTACCCGCTTCCTGGTAGTCGAAACCATCAGGGTGCTGAGAATCAACTGCTGGGCTAGGAGAAAGCCAGTGTCCGGGGATCCTAAAGTCAAGTCCAAAACTTGATGGCCCGTGTTGGTGACATTTACACTGACCACGGCTCAGAGAGATGAAGCTGTGTTTCAGGGAGGTCAAGAAAAGAAGCCAGTCAGCGTGGAAGTCCCTGACTGCCCCAATAGCTGTGTCAACAGGGAAGTGACAAGATTTCAGGGCTGCTCGTCTTGAGAGAAGGAAGGTACTTCCAATTTGCTGTTATTTACTTAACTTTCCTTACATGTGAACGATGGCCCAAGCCCCTTACCACGCGCACTCCTCGAGAATATTATTTTTGCAATATTTTTATTGATACGATATATTTATTTTGAACACAGAAAAGATACATTGTTGCTTATTTAGCGCTTAAACCAGGAACAAGAAAAGCTGTTTAGCTCCATCCCTCAAACACTGGTGAGTACTTAGGGATTTTTATCTTTTTTCCCACAGTACTCTCTAGGGTTGCAGAAGCAGGATGCATTTCTTAAAAGAGTCCCATCCCTGGAGTGCATTTAAAGGCTATACAGTACAACAGACAAGATATTTTTTGCCTAGAAAACAGTACACCACAGAGGCGGACAGAACTGCTTGTAAACAAGGTCCCTTTCCTGGTGGAGTCGGGTGCTTCAGGATACCACAGAACCTCTGCACGGATTCCTTTCGGTTCTGCACTGGAAGAAACCCTATTTCTACAGAAAGTAAAATTCACGATTGCCATCCTTGTCACCCTACTTCTCAAGAAAGGGATTACTGAAATGTCTTAGCCCTTCATTAGAAGAATGGAAATGGGGGGCAGGGGTGGGTGGGGGCGGGGGGAGGCAGGGTGGACTCGAGGTTTCCACTTCCTGCCGCTGGCAATGCTGGCGGGACACTCTGCAAAGCTGTTCGGCTGCCTCCCTCTGGCAGGCTGGGTCTTCATCCATCTTCTCGGATGGAAATTGCTGGGAGTTGTGGGCCACTCTGTAAGCAGGCACACCCATATATCCCCTTCCAGGTGCCTCTGGCGGTGAGGCCCAGATCCGATCTCTCATGGTGGCATGCTAGTATTTAAGGGGCCCGCTTCCCCAGTATTTCATCTCTGCAAGTGCCCTGGAGGGCAGGGGCAGAATGCATCAGCTCACGATTCCCAACTAGGAGCTGCCGCCCTGGGAAAGGGTAGACAGCTCACACTCAGGCCATGGTGGTCAGCTGGGCACGCACTTAGCGAGGGGCCACGTCTCTGTCTCAGAGCTGTGCCCAGGCCACCCTTCTCTTCTTTGAAGACCCTCAGCCCTGGGCCGTGGTTGGACTGACACGGGGACAGCTGTAACCCACCACCACCACTGTCGTACACCCGCCAAGGACCCTGCTCATCACCAGTCGCTTGGGGTGGGGGCCCTCCAAAATAACGCCGCCAGCGCCATGAGGCCGGGGGCACTGGGTTAGGGAGGGGGCGGGGGGGGCGGTGAGGGCTTCCAGGTTGTGCCTGGGTCCCCAGGCCTGTGTCCCTCACCCCGTAAGTGTCAGGGTGGTGATAGTGTGGCTGCCCTGGAATTGAGGGAGGGGTCCAGTGTGTGGCTGAACCTCACTGAGGCCTCACTGAGGCCTGTCCCACTGTCCCACTGCCCATGTTGCCCTGGAGTGGGGGTGGGGGCAGGCGGCCGACCTGGGAGGGTCGGGCAGTTTCTGGAGGCAGAATCAGAGTTTGGGCACAGCCTGCCAGGCGAGGGCAGAGGCAAACAGGCCAGGGAGAGGGGGGAGCAAGGCCCTGTCCCTCTCCAACTGTCTTCTCCCAGCATTGCCTGCAAAGGCATAACCAATAGGCTGGGGAGGAGACGGGAGGTCAAGAGAGCTTCATTTTTAATGAAACCTTAGCAGATGGGTTTGTGTGGATGTGGGAGGGGAGCTGTGTGTATTCACATGTCTGTACATGTGTGGTGCATATCTGGATGCGTGTGTGCATGTGTGTCAGCGTGTGTGTATGTACAAACCGTTCATGTGTGTGTGCACGTAGAAGTGTGTGCACAGCTGTGTGTGTGTGTACTTGTACAAACTATCTGTATGTGCACATGGGAGTGCTGTGTGTGCATCTGTGTGTGTGTAGGTGTACAAACTGTGTATGTATGTGTGCACGTGGGAGTGCTGTGTGTGCATCTCTGTGTGCGTGTGCGTGTGCATGTGCGCATGCCCTTGTAAGCCTGTGTGTGTATCTGTGTATGTGCACGCCCTTGTGGCTCAGCCCGAGGGACCGCAGGACCTGGCTGGCTGGGTCACTCACAGAATCCTTTCTGGACCAGAGGCCGGGGCCCGGGTCGGGGTGGGTGAGCCCGGGGAGCTCCTGGGCCCCGGTTCTGGGCCCGGCAGCGGCAGCAGACCTGATGGGGGGCCAAGCCCACACACAGCCTCATAAGGGGGCAGGATATCCATGGAGATGGTGTGGAGGCCAGCCTGGCCCAGGATCCTCTGCGCCTGCTGGTATCGGCCGGGGCTGTGGATGATGCCCCCATACATGATGCCATCCAGCACGGGGTAGGAGTCGGTCAGTGAGTAGGGCGGTGGTGCATCCGTGGGGATATACAGCTGAGTGGCTCCCGGCCCCACACACTCCTCATAACTACAAGAGAAGAGGCTCCCTCAGGGCTTAGTGGAACCTGGCTTCAGGCGCCAGTGTGGGGGCTTTCCCGAGGGCTGGGAGCCTGGTGACAGGGACGGTCGCCCTGGAGGTTTGTCATGATGGCTCTAATGAAACCCTTCAAACTCCCCAGGAAAGGCACCCCCGAACCACTGAGACTGGATTCTAGTCCTGACTCAGCCCGGGCTCCGTGTGAACGTGCTTGGGCAAGTCACTGAACTCCGGGTCTTGGATAGCTCAGAACAGTGGCCACGGCCAATGGAGCAGCTTCCCAGCCGGCACTGAGAGTGCATGGTCTGGGGCAGCAACCTCGGCCTGACTCTCCTGGGTCTCAAGTCATGGAAGCGGCCCTTCCAGGCTTAGAAGGAGACCCTGGGGCTCCTCAGAAACCCATAGGTGTAGGGCAAAAGAGCACTCACATCCCCCCAGGGGGAAAGAGGTACAGGGTGATGGGGCTGTGGCTGTTTGTGGGGCCAGAGGGGTCTCCTGGTAAGGAAGCAACGGAGGCCCTGATCTCTCTTCTTTTTCCAACTACTAACCTGTGGGTCATCTGCCTGAGGGTGCCAGGGAGAACCCACAGGCCCCCCAGAGAAGAATTCCCCAGTGGGACTGGACTACCTGATGGCCATAAGTGCAGTTTGGACACAGTGAGGCCTGACCCAGTGCATGGGGTTTGGGTTTTGGGGGTGCATACTAAGGAGCCGGGGCCTGGACCCTCCACCCCATCCCCTGACACCTGTCAGAAGGAGCTGAGCTTCTCCTTCTCCAGTGACATCTGTTGAATCATGCCCTGTGTCATTGGGACCTGCTTGGTCAGGAGATGGCCACATCCAGAGATTTTCTGCATTTACACTATTTGGGGGAGATGTTGCTATTTCCCCTGGGTGGGGGTGGGGATTCACACCCAGTGCTCTTCCGGCTCCTGCCCTCCTCCCCCAAACAGTCTCCTTACCCTGGTGGAGAATCCGGGTACATATCTCGAAGCACTGTGGCATCCACGTCCCCATCAGAACTCAGGTCCAAGGGAGGGGACCAGTCTTCGACAGGGCTACAGCTGAAGCGTATCCGGTGGCTCGAGCGACTGTACGTGTGCCCATCAGACACTGCGGGGGACAGACATTCAGCCTGGGCTTTAGACCGGGAGCAGGGAGGGCCCTACATGTGTAGCTGAGGCCACTGAGACCCTGTGCTCTCCAGCTCACCATCTGGTCCCTCACCAGCCCCAGCGGGCTCTCATTCTCTCAGAGCTAGCCCCAGAATGTAAGCACCACTGCTGTGCTGGGCATGGGGTCTCTGAGAGGAAGTGGAGTGGGTTCTGCCCTGGTGGGGCTCCCAGGGTGGTGAGCAGCCTGTCCGGGTGACAGCCTGGTACTGAGTCATGAGATTTGATAGATGCAGCACTGGGAACAGGGATGAGCTGACTCAGCCTGGAGGTCAGGGAGGCCTTCCTGGAGGAGGGGCTCCTAAAGCTGGGTCTTATCTAGGAATTAGCCAAGAGAAGAGGGACAGACTGGGCAGAAGGAAAGAACAGTTGAGCTAAGGAAAGAGATTAGAAATAAGAGTGTGGTGTGAAAAGGAAGCTTTGAAACTGTGGAGAAGGGCTGGGACATGAAAACTGGGGAGTCAGGGAATGAGGGCTACAGAGGTCTCTGGGTCAGGCCTCCCTTCTCCCTGCACCCAACCATACATTATTCCCATAGTTATCCCAGGAGAATAGGCACTTCTGTAATGAATTCTGGCCACTCCGTATACTGTCTTCTCTTCTGTTTTGTTTGTATGTTTACCATATAGTAGTAGTACATTAAAGGCTCTGAAAAGTCCTGCAGCTGAGAATTGCATTTGAAAGTACTTGGGCAGCATTTGATCACAGACTCTTCTTTTCTTGGATCTAGTAACACTGCTTAGGAGGTGCCGATAGAGCACATGCATTCAACAAGTGTGGTTCAGAGAGGCTCAGCGACTTGCTGGAGGTCACACAACAAATTACTGGTAGGACCAGAGGGCAGCTCAATAGCCTGGCTCCTCACTCTATAAAGCTCTCCACCTCCCTGTTTCTGGCATTCTAGTAGAGGCTAGGGGACAGTGGAGCTGCAAAGATGGCTGAGGCATGAGGTCTCCCCACCCACACTGGGGTCTCAGCAGGCTTCTCCCTTCAGAGATCAGGAGGCCACATCAGGGGGTGGGGCTTATCTGTCTAGGGTGGGGCTAGAGACCTGCTTTGAGGTCAGCAGCACCGTCCATCCCCATCTTATACACTGAGGATATCTGTCCCCATTCTCCATTCTACAAGCTGAGGCTCAGGGCCACAGAGCTGGAATTCATGCACAGTCGCTATAACCCTAAAGACTGTTCTTTCCACTCCCCTCATCTCTTTTTGCCCACTCCGGATACAACAGTGAGTAGAAAAATCTGGATGTGAAACTCTATCTGCAGGTATAATCCCAGGGTTATCTATGGACCTTGAGAAAACTCTCGGAAGAAAATATTCCAGACGCGTTAACAGTGGCTCTGTCTTGATGACAGGATCATGACCCTTATTTTCTTCTTTATATTTTCTGTATTTTAAAGGTTTTCCCACAGTGAACACATATTACTTTTCTACTAGGAAAATGGTCCCCAATAATGCATGCTATAAAAAGGAGCTGAAATGAGATTTGTTTCCCTTTAGGGCACCAGCTGAAGGGTGAGAATTTCTGGAAGAACTTGAGGAAGAAACTCAGGAAAGAAGAAAGCATGAAATAGGGTGAGGACAGAGGTGGGATGTGGGCCTCCTGGCTCTGGGGCCAGGAGGGGCCCACCCACCATGCAGGAGGTTATGGCTTGTCTCAACCACGGGAAAGCTAAGGCCGTGTCCTAGACCATGGTGGGAGAGCTGTGGTGGCACGCCCAACAGCTAATGGGCATGCCCGACACTGCCGTGCCCCTCTCCGCTTGGGCAGCTTTCCTGGGGCTTCCCAGAGGCTGAACAGCTTAGGGAAACTGAGGCTGCTCTGAGGCGCTCACCTAGCTCAGACCCCGATCCTGAGTTGACCCAGCTCAGCGCAGACAGAGTTCCTGAGGAACAGCTGGAAAGACTCCCCTGGCCCCTCATTTCAACTCCCCAAATTCTTTTCTCATCTCCTCTCCCTACTTCCATGTCAGCACAGACCCCAGTGGTCTAGGCCTCTGGAAGTCCCCCTAGCCACTTCATGGGGAGTGAGATTTCCTTACCCCTTTGCCAAAGTCAAGAAACCCTTCAGCTCATGATTTAACCCCAATCTGAGGTAAACATCCCTCCACAAGCCCAGGAGCGGAGAACACCCAGGAATTTGCACCCACGGGCACCTGCTGTGTTCTCGTCTCCATGACCACATTCACCCCACACCTGTGAGAGGCGCTGTGGCCGCCTCCTGCTCTCAGATGCAGAAACTGAGAGGTGGGGGCACTTGCTCTAAAGCCCCGGCAAGTGAGAGACCCGATCTGCCTCCTAAAGCTGAAGATCTTTCCATCTTACAGAAATAGAATTTCTTTCATTCACTCACTGGCCCATTCATTCATTAATTCATTTATTCTCAAACATTTATTGGCTCTTCTCTCTGTGCCCGTCTGGATAGCAGAAGGACTCTGTGCGCAGGCAGAGGAGGGCCAATTTTGTTCTGAGGGCAATGGGGAGCCACTGAAGGTTGTTGAGCAGAGGATGGACGTGTTCCCAGGTCAGTCACTTAGGTTGCCTTGCAGAGAATGCCTGGTTAGGTGCCGGTTAGGTGGCCGGCAAGGGGCCGCAGCCAGTGTCACCAGTGTGGCCCTGGCTCAGGTTTTCTCGGGGGAGAAAGAATGAAAAGAGTTAACATGTATTGAGCATGGACTCGGAAGCCAGGTTCTGTGTGACTTAGTCCTCACAGTACCCTTTAGGGGTGGGTCCCTGTGTACCCATCAGGCCGGTGACTCGCCTGAGCTACACAGTGGTTAGACCACTTTCCCCGGGTCGTACAGTAAGATGTGGAAGATGAAGGCCATTTTGGATCCCTGGTTCTGAGGAGCCTGTGAGACCTTGAGGAGAGACGCCTGGGGGATCCCTGGCCGAGGGTGACCGGTAGTGCCTGAAACAGGCAGGTGGCTGAGGTGGAGCCGGGAGTGCGTGTAGAGAGAGGACCTGGGGCCAAGGGTTTGGCTCGGAGACACCTTGCTATTCCTCTCCTCAGAGACTAGGAATCCACAGAGAAGTCTGAGGAGGCGCAGGCAGAGCGCTAGGAGAGAGAGCAGGAGAGCCCGAGTCAGTGCAGCCAGGGGAAGGGGGTGTCTGGGGGACAGAAGCGTCCCCAGGACTACCGGGTGGGTGCTTGTCAGTGCTCTGCTGCTTTGCCCTCCCCACAGTGAGGCACGGGGTGCTTCCTTTCTCGCTGGCCTCCTTCCGGGGCTCCTGGCACCCCTGTGTACCCTCCAAGAAGCTGCAGGAAGCTATGGGGGGCATCGGTGCCTCTCCCCGCTGAGGCCTCATGGAGGTGCCAAAGCAAGAGCTGAGAACCTAAGCAGGGCAAGGAGGCAGGAACCCTACACATGGGTACCCATGGGGACAGGGAAGCAGGGCTGCGCGCATCAGCACTGGGCAGCAAAGGCCTGATGCCGGATGTGGCCTGGCTGTGACCTGCTGTCACACCACTAACTCCAGAGATCAGGGCCAGGGCCTTGCTCATGGGGCACCGGCCCTGGGCCTCCAGGCCCATCTCCCTCTTCAAGGCCAAGGTTGACCTCAAACCTCAGCTTGGGATTTACTCTGGGCCCCTCTCCCACGCTCTAAGTACCAGGCTCCTCGGGGCCTGGGAACTTCCAGGCTGTTCAACAAGGTGCTTTGGTATCCCGGTCTTTAAAATGGGCGAGGGGCACCTGGCTGGCTCTTGATCATAGGGTTGTGAGTTCGAGGCCCATGTCAAGTGTAGAGATGACTTTAAAAGAATAAAACACTAAATAAAAGGAAATGGGCAAACACAGCTCTTGCAGTGAGGAGGAAATGGGGCGGTTCCTTCCCTGATGGAACATCTTCTCTGGGTGAGATCCTGTGCTGGGCTCTGGGCCCCACTGGTCAAGAGCTACCCACAGGTCCTGTTTTCCCTGGAGCAACCGCGCCATCCCATGACAGGGGCATTGGCAGAAGTGTGGGCAAATGCTAAGCAAGTACAGGGAAGGGTGATTCCACCTACCTGGGCAGGATGTGGTGGCATTTGAGGTGGGCCTGAAGGACAAGTAGGCTTTTGTCAGTTGTTGGGGGGGCAGTGTGGGGAATGGCACTGTGGACCTAGGAAGAGCATATGCAGAGGTGTGGCGTTTCCTCTAACCCTAACCCTAACCCTAGCTCCTTATTGGGAGTGGGCATGCCTGGGCAAGAGCCTCGCACTCCTCCAGGGGCCGGCTGGTGCTATAAGCATAGGAATAAGCCAGGCCAGTGCTGGGCAGTGCTCCTGGCTTGTCTTCTTGGGGAGTCCTCAGCTTCTGGGGACTCTGGAGGGGACTGGGTTGGCTGGGCTTCCAGCACCTGCTTGATTCATGCTGACTCTTCTCTTTAGCGTCCCCTGTTGGGCAGTGAGGGTGAACCACTGACCTGCTGACCTGCTGCTCCCTTCCTCCATTGTGGCCATATGTCCCCTGCCAGGTGATGTCCCTCTGTGTCTCGTTGAGAGGGCCAGCTTCCTGCTCTTCTGCTTCTCCTATCAGCATTGCCAGTGAAGCAACGTCCAGGTCCGCAGGGCCCCAAGGTCTTGGGTGCATTTGCCAGATGGGGCCCTGGGCCCATGCGGCGCCCCTGGTGCTGTTTCCCCCACACCTTCAGCCTCCTTCAGTGCTGCGACTCGTGGCACGTGGTGAGGAGCCTGCAGGAGCCCAAGCCGGGCTACCTGGGCTCAAATCTGGCTGGCTGACCCTAGGTAGGTTACTTCAGCACCTGACTATGGTCTGAATGTTTGCTAACCACCCCCGGCCCCCAATTCTTATATTGAAATCTGAACCCCCAAGTTACTGCTAGTATGAGTTGGGGACTTTGGGAGATGATTAGGTCATGAGGGTGAAGCCCTCATAATAGGGACCAGTGCCCTCACAAAAGAAACCCCAGAGAGCTAGCTCATCCTTTCTACTGTGTGGGGACATAGCGAGAAGGATGTGGGCCCTCACCAGATACCAGATCTGCAGGGGCCTTGGGAGTCCCCAACCCCCAGAACAGAGAAAAAAAGTTCTTTTGTTTATAAGCCACTCCATTTCTGGTATGTTTGTTATAGTAGCCTGAATGCCCCAACCTCAACTTCCTTTTAAAAAAAAAAAAAAGGGATTTATTTATTTATTTGACAGAGATCACAAGTAGGCAGAGAGGCAGGCAGAGAAAGAGAGGAAGAAGCAGGTTCCCTGCTGAGCAGAGAGCCCGATGCGGGGCTCGATCCTACGACCCTGGGATCATGACCTGAGCCGAAGGCAGAGGCTTTAACCCACTGAGCCACCCAGGCACCCGTCAACCTCAACTTCCTTATCTGTAAATTGGGAAGGTAATAAAAAGTAGTCTGACCTCCAGGACCACGGTAAGGGTGGAATGAGATTGTGCGTGAAAAATGCGGGGCAATCAGTGAGTGTCCTGCCGTCCAGGTCTTCCCTGCTTCAGCTCCCGGCGGCTGGGTGCGGGAGGCGAGTTGTAGTTGCTGAAAGGTGGCCCCTTCCTCACCCAGTTCACTCTTTGTGGAAGGGGGAGTAAGTGGCACAAAGCTGTTGGGTGATCAGGGCATGTTGGGAAAGGACTGTGGATTTCAGGCCTCTGGTCCATGTGGATGAGATCCAACCCAACCAGTTTTTAAATTTTTATTTTCTTTCTTCCTCCCAAGCTCTGCCTGTCCCAGAGGAGGAGGAAAGATTCCCAGGGCCTGCCATGGCTCTGGAGCCTCCAGATGGCTTTACCTATGGTGTGATGGTGGCCTCTGGGCCCATATGGCTCCCAGAGTCCAAGCAGAGGCTCTGTCAGGACTCAGGGGAGGCTTTTTCCTACTCTTGACAACCATTCTGGGAACTGAATGAATTGAGCTCCTTCTTGCTGCTTTTGGATAACGGTCCCCTTCCAAGTGTCAGACAAAGTCAGGTGACTGCCTTCTGTAAAAAGCTCAGGCCCTCCAGCCAGATGGACGCTTTTGGGATTGGTTGCCCCAGGAATTAACCACCACCTCTGTGTAAGGGAGATTCCCCTCATTGGGAAAATCTCCAATCAGTTCTCTATGCACTTTGCAGGCTCCCTGGGGGTAGAGTCACTCACTCATCACTCGTGCCATCATTCATCCATTCACTTATTCATATGCCCAACTGACCCCCCACCTGTCCATCCCACCACCTTCCTATCTGTCCATCTTTCCATCCACCCACCCATCCATCTATCCGTGTGCTCGCACAGCCCCCCCAGTCCATGCCTGTATCCGCCCCCTCTAGCCATTCATCCTCTCTTCATGTGTCCTTCTGTCCCCCCTTGTAGCCATCCATCTCCCACCCGACCCACTCACCCATCTTTCCCTTCAGCCACTGGTCTGTCCACTCACTCGCCCCACCCCATTCCCTCACCTTTCCGTCTCCTCATCCCCCTCCCCATCTGTCCTCCCATCCCACCCACCCATCCCTCTCTCCCTCCGTCCTTCCACGCAGGTCCCAGCTGGACCAGCTGTCAGTACAGCCGGGTCCACACTGGCCAAGGCTGGGGAGTAGGACCATACCCTTCCTTTGACCTTCAGGGTCACCTTGGCAGACTCCTGGACCTCTCAGGCCCCTGAGAGCCTCTGATCTCTTCCTGACCACCCTGCCCCACCCCTGGCAGGGCTGCCCCCTCCCCTGTGTCTCCTGGGTGGCTGTCACAATCAGACAGGAGCCCAGGCCCCGGGGTGGACGGCAACTCACCGTATCCTTGCTCGTACTCTCGGTGGTAACGGCGGCGGTGGCGGTGGTGGTGGTGATGGTGACGGCGGTGGCGGTGGCGGTGCCGCTGGAGCCGGGCCTGCCGGTCCCTGCGGATACTGCCCACGATGATAGTGATGCAGGAGAGGATGATGACCACCCCTATGACTGCACTGGCCACCAATACAGGAGACACCAGCAGGTGGCTGTGCTCCGAGCTCTCCGAGTACGTGGGGTAGAAATAGCTGGTTCGGTTGTACCGAGCTATCAGGAACAAGGAGAGGACATTGAGTTGGGGCACAGACCCTGCCATGTTTCCTCTTCCAGCCCGGCTGCCCCATGAGTGATGTGTCCCTAGTAAATGGAGGATAGTCAGGCTTCAGCCCCATGGACTGTGTCCCAGCTGCCTGTGACAGGGAGGAAGGGAACAGTGCTTTGCTCTACTCCCTGAAGGAGCCTCTGAGACTGGGGCTTGACCTCCCCTTCTCTTTTCTCCAGCTCTGGCTGGAGAGCTCAACTAACTCACAGGTAGGAGAAGAAAAACTCCAGGCAGTAGACTTGTCCAAGGTCACAGAGCAAATCAGTGGCAGAACTGAGGCCTGACGTCAAGACTCAGTGCTAGATAGGGACTCTACTCCACCAAGATTTGAGGTTGGAAGGTCAACTTTACCTTGGAAAGGGGTGGGTGATGGATGGGGATGTTGGTCAAAGTATGAGGACTAACTCAGCTGGCCTCCAACACTGACTTCTGCCTTGGGGTGAAACCTCCCCAGGGGGTTCCAGGGAAATCAAATGGTAACTGACCCAGACATGTCAAGGGGTTGGATCAGAGCAGAGAAGCCTTCCCAGAGTGGCTGTACTGATATTAAAAAAGACAGACTTCCCACACTGTGCTTGGTACTCCTCACACACTTAATTCTCATGATGGCCTGGGGTAGGATCCCCAATTTAACAGGTGGAGAAACTGAGCCCCAGACAGATTAAGCAACTTACCCAAGGTCACGTGGCCCACAGAGAGGGAGCTGGGTTGGGGGGCAGCCTCAGGCCCACACTCTGAGCCAAGGGCTAGAGCCTGTGACTGCCAGGCGCTGGGCTCTGGGAGCTCATGTTTTCTTGGATCTTGATAAACTAAAAAGTTCCTGTCTCTAAAATGATGCTTGGCTGCTTCCGGATCCCTTTATTGTAGTCAGAGCAGGCCGTGACCTACAGGTTATGCAGGGTGAAGGCCTACAGAAAGCTGAACGTTGCTGATAAGACACCAGGATTCCAGAGAAGGGAGCCCGTGTGTGTCAGGAAGAGACAGATTGGGACAAGTAGGTATTCAGGGCTGAGGCGCTGGGGGAAGGGACCCCTCTTCTGTGTATCTTCCATTTCTGCATCTGTTCCAGAGATGTGGTTGGGACTGTGGGGAGGGGCCCTGGGGCAATTTCTCCACAGAGGAACAATGTGAATACTAAGGTAGCTCTCACCGAGCACTTACCAGCGCTGGTCAGGCTCTACACCCTTTAGAAGCACCATAATCTCATTTAAGCATCACAGCAACCTGAGAGGCAGATGTCTTTTCCACCCATTTTACAGATGGGGAAGTTGAGGCACAGAGGTAGTAAAAGGGGTGGAGCCAGAACTTAGATCCAGCTTGTTATGTGCTGTTCCCGAGCCTGCACTCATACTCCCTCTGGTTCCACATAGGGGGAGCCCCTGGAGGGCAGGACCTGTGTCCCCTGGCCTCGTCTTGTCACTGGGTTTTTCCAGTGTCTTGGGCAAAGCCAGCCAACAAAGGGAACTCGGGGGCCATTTGAGTCCCAAGGAGGGAGGTCAGGGATGGGTTGCTTGTGTTCTTGGGGGCATGGGGACGGGCTCTGTGAGCTACTCCGTCATTCTCACTCACCCGCTAGCACGTCCTTCTGCCCATCACTCACCCAACCGTCCAGCCCAAATGCGGGATTTGCGCTCGTTCATAAGCCCTGGCAGATTGTGGGAATGGAAGGGCATTACCGTCTAGGGGAGCGGATCAGGTCTTAACGGAGGAGTGCAGGTCTGGGGTGGGCTCCAGATCAATGGTGAACCAGCCTGGCAAATCCCACCACAGGAGAACCTTGTGCTTCTGAGGAGTCATGAGAGAGGTGGAGGCTGAGGCTGGAGGGGCTGGCAGTGGCCAGACCGTGAACGGTTTTGAATGTCAAATCAAGAGACCGTCCTCTATCTCTAGGGCAGAGAGGAGACTTGGGTGAAGGAGTGTGGTCACAGTGTTTTAGGAGAGCCCTCTGAGCACAGACTGGGGGGGCAAAGTGGGGACTGGGGGGCCAAGGAGGAGGTTGCTGCCAGGGTCCCCGTGAGCATGGGGCTGGGGTGGGGGAGGCTGAGGCCCACGGCCCTGTGCTGTGCAGAGCCGAGTACGGAGCCAGGCTCCACTGGACGCCCTTGGTAGGCAGAAGGCCACTGCAGAGTTCCTTTGCCTCTCTGATTTGATGTGCTCTGAGCAGGCCTCAAGGAGAGGCCTGATGCTTCCCTACTCGGCAGGTAGGGTCCCAAGGGCCCCTTTGAGGCTGGGGTGGTACCCCGGGCCATGGGCCACTGCTGTGCCGGGCAGAAATCTCTGCCTCCAGATATCTGGTCCATCTGGGAGCCACAGCTGAGTCAGAAGGCTCTATGTGACCCAGGCCTACATGTGGGGCAGGGTCTGGGACCGGCTTCTCTTCTATGCAGATACCTTTGTCACCCTCATTTATAGATGAGGACGCTGGGTCTTGGTGAGCTGAAGATTTGCCCTGGTTTTGTGGTAGATCTGGGATTTGAACCCAGGGTGTCTGACAGCTCATCAAATAGTGGCACCAAACAGGGGAAGAGAGTGGGATATGGTGGGGGTAGAGGCAGGGGAGCTGGGCTCTGTGTCTGGTTCTATCGCTCACTTGCTGTGTGACCTTCGGCACACTCCTGCCCTCTCTGGACCTGCTGGCACTCTGTCCAAAGAGATACCTATTCTTAAATGTTTATCCCTCCAGGGTGGGTGAATGGGTCTGAGAGGGGTCGGGAGGGGGTGGCAGCTGGGTGAGCACAGTGGGTGTGAGGGTGGGCAATAAGATTCAGTCCTATGTCAGGAGGATGGGGTCAGGGCTGTCTCCAGTCTGGGGAAGGCAGGGCAGGGAAACTGAGGCAGAAGATCACTACCAAGTCCTTGTTGAGTGTAGTGTGCAGGCAGCTCTACAGTCCCTCTGTCTGGGTACAGAGAAGCGGTCTTTGCTGTCTGAAGCTCCCTGAGGAGCACTGACAAGGGAAGGGCACCAAGACTGGAGGTGTTGAACCAATATCTTTAAGCCTCTAGTCCTGCCCACTCCTTCAGAGAGGATGGCTAAAAGGAAAAGGAGGGCCATAACTCAAATCTGACTGATGGCTCCTGTCACAGGAAAGTCTGAGGACATTTGTCATGGGTCCACTTCCCTGGCAAGTCTGGCCTCAGCTGTACGGTTCTTCCTACACTGCTGAGGCCGCCAGGAGGAGGCCAGTGAGGTCACTGGAGGGAATATGGGAAAGAAGATTCAGATGCCATCTTCCCTCTGCTGGATGTTGGCAGGTCCCAGACTCCTGGCAGGAATGTGCAGAGGGGCTGGGGCAGGGGACATGGCAGGGCGGGCTCACTTGCATGGGCATTTCTGGGTCTCCTCCTTTGCTTTTTAGGGTAGCCTCTCAGCCCATTTGCCGATACCCATCCTCTCGCTGCCAGGTGTCTGTGATGGAGAGATATTAGAGTGCTGGGGTGGGGTTCAGGGACATCCACATGGTGGGGCTGGCTCTTGGAGGACAAACAGAGGAGGGAGGAAGGAACACAGAGAGGTGAGGTCCCAGCAGAGCTACAGAAAGGAGGAGGTGCTTCTGGGGTGAGGCTGTAGGAGGTCACCTTGATGGCAGCTAGATATTGGGATCACAGAAATGAGGAAAAGGCAACTTGGTGTTCAAGATTCTTCTTACAGTGGGGATGTGTCTCTACAAGAAGTCAGCTAATGTCATGTCAAGGTCTTGAAACGTTTTACTTGGCCATTTGTGGCATTACAAGCGGGGTAGATTATAGTGGAGAGGAGGACTGGAATGTGAAGTCATCTACCCTCAATCCTCTATAAATTCACTTGGCCAACCAACCATCCACCCTCCGTGTATTTATTTACCTGGGCATCTACACAGCATTCTCTTGATCATCCATCTATCCATCCATCCGCCCGTCCATCCACTCACCAATACTTAGTGCATTTTCCATGTCTGGACATGTGCTAGACACTGGGAACATGGTACAAATCAGACCACAATGAACCTCAAACTGTGGGAAGTAAGAGGTCCTACATAGGTGCCCCAGGGCCAAGAAGAGAAGCTTGGGACATGATGGAACTCCCTGCTCTCCCTTCACACAGAGTAGCTCTGTTTCCATCTGTTTCACACATCAGGCTTAACAGGGGAGTGCTCCACTGCCTACTAGAAGCTTTTCAACTACTACATTAAAATATAACTGGAAAATCTAAGTGACTACCCACAGGCCTTTCATGACTCTATAAATACAAGATGAAAGTGGTTTATTCCACTATTAAGATGCCACTTAAATAAACTCACCAAAATGAACTCACATGGACGATCGCTTCTACATATCGAACAAGCTTACTGTCTTGTTATCATTCACTAAAGTTTTATCTCTGGTTGGATGGATAATTTGTTTATTGGCTGGGGAAATTCACTATAACAGTGTCACAAACCACTTTTCCCTATTTCTATGGACTATTTCTACGGAGCAAATGGTGAACTGGGCGACATCACAGAAGGAAAGCCATGACAGAATTAGGCTTTCCACTTGAACCCACACCAAACTCTCATTTTCTTGCTAGAATCATCACTGGTCCTGACCTCCTCATTTTCTCTCCTCTTTTGTCAACACCTAAAGTTGGCTCTTACGCTGTTTTCCACAAAGAACATAGGTTTTTATAACACTGGCTGAGTCATGGTCAATGCTGAATGAGTAGGAAGTCATGTAACTGTGTTGGGAAGAAGATGCTGGGGGGCTGGCTTGGCCCACCCATCAGCTGGGGGGATTAGCTCCCACATCCCAGCTTGCATTACAAGACTCAAAATCATGGCTTGGAAAAATGACCATTTACTACAACATGGACTTTCCAGGAAGTTCATGAATAATTGATATATAACATGTTAAATTTATGAAAGCTGCAAATTATCCTCAGCTATCCCACCACAAGCTGGTCCAGGCTCGAGCTATGTACTTGGGCTAC